GGGAATGTAATCCTGATATGAATGTTATGGAATGCAGGAAGAAATTTGACGTAGCAAAATGCATCGTAAACATGAAGGAATTATTGGAAGAACTGAAGCCACACACATTGAAGTCATGCTGGAAAAAACTGTGGCCTGCTCTGACTGCGGAAAATGACGAAAAATCTGTGAAAGTTCAAATTTTGACAGCAAATGACCGAGATCGCGAATAGAATAGGACGAGATGGGTTCGAACAGATAGAATCAAGTGACATTCAGGAATTACTTGAATCGCAAGACGAAGATTTGACTGAAACCGGCTTAGGGGAAATGTTAAATTCACCGCCCATTGAAGAAGAGGCTTCAACAAGCACTGCAAACATGACATTCAATTTGAAAAGTCTTAGTGAAGGTTTAAGAATGCCAAATGAGCCTGGCGACATTAATCCGTCTATGGAAGGAAGTCTTATTTTTAAGAGGCAAATTGCTAATGCGACTGCTGCGTATCTGTCTGAATTGAAGGAGCTTTTAAAAGCTGCCAAGCAAGAGAAACTTACAAAATTCTTCAAACCATTGCCTAATCCTTAAGATAATTATACAAAATGTTCAAAAACTTCAATTAAACTGATTTGTATTTGATTTTTTTTTATTTTGTCACCTAGGAACGTATCCCCTATAATCCCATATAAATTACCATTCCGTATTCACGATTTCTGTATTCGCGGCATTTTTATGGAACGTATACCCCGCGAATAAGGAGCTTTTACTGTACTAGAATTGATAGGTTAACTTAACCATATTTATATATTTTCAAATTTGATAAAGGGTGAAGAATTAAGATCAGAATATTTTATGTGTTTTTTTTGTCTTACTCACTCACCTTGCTGATAAAGTACTTTTATATCCGATTCATTTTATGATCAATTGCTTTTGTTTCTAAAATACGTAAAGCAAGCGAATACTTTTTTTAAAGATAAGTAAGTTGGTATAAATGCGCAAAGATTGTGCGTTAATTTCTTGTTCGGTATCGATAGTAACTTTCAAAAAGGCCTATACTCTGTATGGGAGTGCTGTGCCCAGCACTTGTTGCGCTCTTATGATCGTAAAAATTTATGATGGAAGTCAAGAAGAATTGCACCGACTACTATTCGACCACTATTATATATCTATTGTTAGCCATCGTTTGTGGAGATTTTATATTTAGAATATATTTTTTGATAAATATTAAAAATATGGCAACATTAGAATAGCCACTCTCGTTAAACATCTTCAGTTTAGTGAGGTCTCTGTGGCACGTAGTATAGCTGATGCCAAGCCAATTTGAATCTAAAAGAAAAGAAAAACCGTTCAATCAACTTGCAACTGATTTGCGTGGCATTTTTAGGAAATATTGATATTTGTATGATTGGCGGGAGTATGGCGAATGATTCGAAAATGATTCAATTTTCCACCGAAAAAAAAACCACGAATTTAATTCATAACTAATGTCTAATTTAAGTTGTTAAAAATATCCTAAGCATTTCTTTTGAATATTATATTGAAGTTACTGTAAAAAACTCGAATGAATAGAATGGAAATTATTATTGCTACTCGTCAAAATTCTGTTTCGAGAGAAATGAGGAAAAAGTATTTTATTCATTTTTACTCATTATTACTCTATAATCGCAGAGCCTAGAAAATGATATTGCTTATTGCACATATTCTACTGCAATGCCCTTGCTTGAAGATTTTTTGCTAGAAAGTGATGTTTTGGCTCATCGCACGTTTTGCACTTGATAAGTTGCGAAAGACGCCAAGAAAATTTGTGATTCAATTAAAAAGTTCAAATTTTTAATTAACATCAAAAGCTTCTTCCTCCCTTACTTTTAATTTCTTAATACAGACACTTTCTGATCAAGCGATCAGGCTTTTATTAGTTGAACGTTCGTCTTGATAAAGTTACACCATATTTTTGTTTGGGAAATGCTTTTAAATAAACTTAAACTGTTTCTAAAGGCATCTGCCAGCGGATTAAAGAAGTTAAAAATCAACAGTTGAGAAAGACATTACGCTGTCACTTCGCATACGTGCCTCTTCTCGCAGAGGTAGCCTTCTCGAAACGCTTGAAGCAAAGCTTGCAATTTCAAGGAAAAATTTTCATTCCAGTAATGAATATAATATATTATATATTTAAATTCTAAAAGATGCTCAAAATCTTTAAAAGAAGATTTCTCTAAAAAATTTGCAATACTTTCAATGGCCTATAGATTTATTGTGTCAAATATATAAGGGACATTTACTCATACCATTAAATGTATGAAGTGTGTTTTAAAAAAAAAAGTTGATTTGTTAGTTTTTACGAAAAATATTTATGTATCTATCAATATCTATTTTATCTCCGTCATAGTAGTTCCCTTTATATATATAATACATTTGTACTTAGGGGCAGTTTTGGGAACAGGAAAAAGTCACATGGTGGAATACGGTGCCTAGGGCATGATTACGGTATTGTTTTTGGTTAAAAAAATGCGAAATTTAGCAATTTCGGAACAAACTTCGTTGTCACATTTCGTTGTTTCATTTTCAAAACCTCCGAAAAAAAAATTGGATGACGTGTCTAATAGTCATTCCACGTTTGTCCTTAACCTCTATTCTTCACTGTTTCAATGCTATCGGTTGTTGTCCAGGGCGTGCATCGTCTTTAACATCTTTTCGGCCTTGTGTGAAAAACAAATGCCGCAGTCAACATTTTAAATAAGTTGGAGCATTTAACTTTATTTTGCCCATAAAATTCAATATAGATTGTTTAATCCATTCGTTTCGATAGCGAAAAAACGCCAAGCACGCCAAAACAGGCCTAATCTTTATATACTATCTGTCAAAATCAAACTAAAAATGCAAAATGACTGATAATGTTAACATATGTTGAGGACATATGTACCAACATAACAACAACAACACCAACAAAATCGAAAATCGAAAATGTACATAACCCATGAAATGTGAAGAGTCACTTTTTTTTGAACACACCTGCTATATGCATTTGGTTATTCGTTATAAGTAAAGTAAAATTATTTTACATGAATTATTTAACTTAAATAGCAAAAACTGACGTCAAATTGCTTTCTTTTTTTTTTCGCCGTAATTTACCATCTTTTGTTTACGTCCACATGTTGAGCTCTCTATTAATTCCGTTTCTACTCTACTGTCCTAGTAATTTCTGCGTTTTTAACACTTGTTGTTTGACTTTTGCTCAGTGGGATAGCGGACGGTTAATTTGTTTCGCTTACTTGTTTTCGATGACCCAGTTGAAGTTTATGCAACTTTTTTTTCTCCAACCTAAAAACCAGTTAATTATGAGTCAATCGTTGAGCTTTTTTCTTATTGTTTTTTTTTTTTTTTTTTTTTTTTTTTTTTATTAAACTATCCATATTTGAAAAAAATTACTTATTATACTTACAGTAAGTAATCTTTCATTTTTTTTTTTTCCTTATTCATTAATATATATTTGGCTATCGCTGTATTTGCACGTCTAAAAATATGATGGGATTTGTCCACCCTATTCAACCGTTTACTTTCTATCTAAATATTAAATTATGCTGCTCTGGATGGCTAAACACGCTTAAACGAAAATGGAACTTAGTTATACATAACACACATAGTTTTATATTATTCTAATAAATTTGAAACCTTTAGATCGAATAGAAAATGTATGTAATGGGAGAATGTTATCGTACATAACGATAAAAAAACATCGTTCAAAATTTTGTTCAACATTGTAATGAATTTTCACCTTTTAAATAATTTACATATAAACATATATCTGAAAATCATCCAGTTGTTGCCCTTGTCCAATTTAATCGATGTCGTTGATATTTATATGATAAATGACGATTCAAAAATGGCGTGAACCTTAAAATGGATAATGTGGAAAGAATTTTTATTATAGCATAATTAATTAACTTGACATAATGGACTAAGGAGACTTTCATCACAAACGTTGTAGAACAATCAGGACCGACCAGGACCGATCGGTCCGTCAATTTTTTAAAATAATTTCTTCAAAATACCTGCTGGAACCTATCAGTTCAGAAGTTCAGTTTCAGTGTAAGAGAGAGCATAAACATCAACGAAAGCATACGTATAGTACATGCTCTACTACGAGCTTGTGCTCTGACCAATTTCTCCCATTTTCATTACCAAACTGCGTGCAAGAACACCCAATGTTCCACCAAATTTGAAGTCGGTATCTTCGCAAGCAGAGTGTTAACAACAAACACCACACAGACATACAGGCGGACAGATAGACCTAAATTAACTCAGAATTCCACGCTCGTTAAAAATATATTATTTATAGATTCTCTGAAGCTTTCTTTTGGGTTTTACATACATTATTAGGAAATAAAATCAGCATATCTCCATTGTACAGCGATGGGTTTAAAAGGCGAAGAAGATCTGAAAAAGCTTCACTATGTTATATAGAAGTTTAAATGGTAAATTTAAATGGTAGTCAATGTAGGAATGTCCTAACACATGAGAAAAGTTCTCGGGAGGAAAACAATGAATTCATAGTTATTTTGAAAATATTTTCACTAAGACTTAATATCGGTTCTATACCGTAATTAACCGTAATTAATTAAGACAAAAGTGCAACTTAACCCATATATAACACAATCTACACTTGAATTTAAAAAAAAAAACTGCATTTGTAATATTGTCGGCCTTTGCTCAAATAACTCAAAAGTAGAATCAAGTTCTTCTAATGCTTTCATCTATAGTAGATTTATAAAAAAAAAAAAAAATAAAATAAAAAAAATATTTAAAAAGATCGATCCATCGATCATATATAAAAAAAAAAATGATTAGCAGATTATTCTGCTCTGCGATAGCTTGCAATTCTATTAACTATTACTTATTAATCATTGCAGTTAATATCTATCCCGTCGTATATTGATCGAATAGATATCTAAGACAAAATAACTTTTCTTTCTTTTTCTTCTAAAAAAAATAATTATTAATAATAACTTATTATTTATTTCTAGATTTCAATTACGTGGTCCCCTTATAATATGGAACACAATGTTATCTATGTTTAGTATTATGGGTGCTTTTCGTACAGCTCCAGAACTTATACACGTTCTGCGTCATTATGGCTTATTTCATTCCGTATGTGTTCCAAGGTAAGTTTTTCTTATCATTTGCACATTTGATTTTCACCTCTACATCGACAAGATTTATAGAAATACTTTAATGGATTGTATAGATGACATCGATTAAAAAAATATGCACGTTAGAAAGTTTTATTCGCTTTTATAGCAAATCGTGGTAGGCGCATCAGCCCATTAATGCGCATATTACATGTTTACATTAGCGTTCTAATTGTCCCTACTAAATATTTATACAAGAGTTTAGATTTTTATATCCTTGTACTACTTGTTGTATATTAAGTTAGTGTGTGAATATTGGCAACACCCAGAAGGATGAGTTGAGATAAATCCACCTTCTATTATATTAATCCGGATCATTTTCTGAATCGGTCTAAGCTTGTCTGTCTGTCGGTCTTGTCTTCTTGCGTTCACTCTACTGGCCGCAATATATGAGATATTTTGACTTCATTACTTATACTGGCTTGTCTTAGCGCAGGGGCAAACGCTATTTGAAACTGATTCGAATTAGCCCACTATTTCGACTACTTCTCGTCTAACGTCTTGTTGTGGAAAGTCGATATAGAAATAACTGTAGAGTGGCATATAGTATTTCATGATTGGCTTTTGGTTTTACTTGTTATAAGCGCTTCTTTGGCTATTTTATTATCCTCGTATATGTTTGTGTACCGAATTTCAAATATCTGAAATGAAATATGATTTATGCTTTTGTTATCATATTGTGAGCATGTTGCTTAATTCTCTCTACATATGGAAATTTTACCGAAAGCCATCAACTGAAAGTTATAAAAAAAACGTAAATACTTTTTCTCTCTCTTTCCCAAGCTTTGCAATGCTGAGGGCCACAACAACAGATAATAACGTGCAAAGGTATGAATGAAAGGAAGGAGATTCAGTCGGTATATCAGACTTAAATCAAATTTAAAACTTTAAACTCTTCATGAGTAAATACACGTTGTACGATATCCAATGCTTGTATTTGCTTATTTACATACATATTAATAAAGTTCATGTTTTCATAATAAAAATGAATATAAAAATTCAAAAAGATATAACAAAAACAACAGAGTGAAAATCGAATGCATTAAGTAGTTACTCTGAAATGTTCTTAACCTTGGCCATCAATTTTTATTCCAAGTTCTATTAAAAGACATCATACAAATCAACAGCCGTTGAATGAGACTGGTGCAATTTGCGCACATTTAAACGTTTAAAAGCTTGCCAATAAATTTCCGTGTAACAAAAAAAAAAAAAAAGATTAAAAAAAAGAGTACGAAAATTTCCATTGATGTTGTGGAACTTTTTTTAAATTTTACCAAACCAGCGAATGCATTAAAATGGTACGTGGATTATTTTTTTGAAACCGGTTTTTAAATTCTGATACAATCAGCAATTATTTCATTTAAAAGACTCGAAAAGATTTTTGTCTTTGCATTTATTAAATAAGCACTTGTCTCGTCTTGTTTAGTCTGAATTGTAAAAATTTCGAAAACTGTGTGTGTTGATAACTTTGTTTGCTGCTGATTAATAACACTTTGGATATTATTGAACTTGAACTTGTCTTATTGTCGAAAATTTCATTTCATGTGTTTCATTTTTTCACTCACCTTTCTAGAACGTGATAGCACTTTTAGCAAAACGACCTTGAATCTTGATATAAGCAATAAATAGAATAAATGAGCAAAAAAGGCTACAGATATATTTTACATATATAATACATACAGTGGCGAGCAAAACTGGATAAATATGCTAAAAAGTACATTAAATTCATACAGTTCTTGTGCTTCTCAAGAAACACGCCAACAAGGCGCCCACACGCCTATGCAACAAAAGCTAGAAACTTTTGTTTTCCGTATTTTTTGCTTGTTACTCATAGATAACAACACATACACCACATAAATTTCCACTTTTAATCTGAAAATAGAAAAAATCAGCCGTATCCACCCAATTATTATAAAGTAAGAAAGTTTAATTCTTTTCCTTTTATCTTAGGATAACAATGATGGGTATAGAAGATTCGGTCACAGCCGAATATAATTTTCTTTCTAGTTTAATATTATGAGATGAATTTGGATCACATTTATTACGTCATACTTATGTCCTTAGATCGGAGGGACATAACCAGTCGCCTAAGAAAAAATATATTAATATTCATCAAAATTTTTAAAAACTTCCAAGTTAGGCCCGTATTAAAAATCAAAGACGGGATTGATGTTCGCATTCACATTATTTTCTAATTTTTATTAACTTGAAATATTACGTCACGTAAGCTAAAGCCATAAAGTGTGTGTGTGACAATGTGCTATAAATCAATGGACAATGGTATCATCTTTACCTAAATTACGCATTGATAAATTTGCTGACATGCATGAAACAATATTAACTGTCCGTGTTTAATTGCAGATCATATACAAATAATATTACAATTAATAGTACGGTAATAAAAAGGAGTAAGTATAATCAAAAACCAAAGGTGAATGCATCAACAGTGTACAAAATAGGTTTTGCCAGTTTTGAGCAGGTCGCGTTGTTGGGATAACAAAAGCGAAACATAAATAACGACGGAAAGGGTCGCATGTTCAAAAAACCATGCTCGCGGCCATAGTCTGCCATCAGGTTAATGTAGTGCACACATTAGATGACTGCTCCTGTCCAAACAGTTTACCATTGAGCAACAGTGTCAACACCAGTCATTAAAATCAAAACGGATATAATATGCTTATGTTCGACGCTCACACATTCACCAAACATTCCTCCTTCTAATCAACATCCAATTCTCAATAAATCGCAATAGCTCTTCAATTATATGGCGTTAGCAGCGTTAATAAAACGAGTCATCTTTTTGGACCGAAATTCATATTTATGAATAGTATTCTTCGTTTTTTTTGTTTTCATTTAGTAAATGCCCAATTTTATTTTAAAATAAGTAAGAAAGTTATATTCGGCGGCGACCGAATCTTTCCGAAGCATTCCCACCACTGTGCTTTTCTTCATATTCTATAACTAAAACCTAATTAAAAGAAACTTATGAAATCTATGTAGTGGCACAAAGATCAGTTAGTCGGTCGGCTTGATACATTTACATATTTTGGTATCAAAAATGTGCGGTGTCCACCGTATATATTTTAGAATTAATGAGTATTTTTAGGCAGATAATATTTCTTCATTTAAGGAATGTACAAAATAGTTTTGAACATTCTTTCTTGTTTGCGTTACGATAAATAACAATAAAACCTTAAAAAAAAATGGAAAAAAGACTTTTTAATCACTCGTAACTTTGGACGATTTTTTCCATTTTTTGAATGTAAAGAGTCGAGTGTTTTGTACAGTAAACGTGGAAAATTTCAGCCCTTTATAACGAGCAAAAATCCGCAAATTTTTGTTACGGAAAGCAGAGTTGCGTTCAATTTATGCAATTTATGCGGACTTCGACCGATTTGGCCAATTTTCAGTACCAACCTGCGTGCAAAAACTTTGAATGTTTCTATTAAATTTGAGGGCGATATCTGCATTTTTGCGGCCAGGACAATGCCACGAATAGACACCATGCAGACACACAGATGGACAAACATGGCTAAAACAATTCAGAATTTCACGCTGATTAAGAATGTGTATACTTTATTGGGGCTTTGAAGCTACCTTTTGGATATTACATACATTATTAGAAAGCAAAATTAGTATACCTCCCATTTACAGTGGTGGATATAAAAATGTTTACTCCCATCATAGCAATTTGAAAATTTTTAATTACATTATCTAACACTGAGAAAAGAAAAAAGATGATATTATTATTAGATCCAACACAGAGGGATTTTGCGAAAACGTTTACAATACCTAGAAAACGCTTCAAAGACCCTGCAAAGTACACATTCGTGATCAGCATCAAATTCTGAACTAAATTAGGTATGTCCCTCTGTCCGTGTAGGTTAAACATTCTCCTGTTTAAAAAAAACAATTTGATAATAACATTGGGAGAAGAGTAGGACATAAACCGACATCTCTGTTGTTTTTAGAGCAAAAAAAAAAAAAAAAATTGAACTATTTAGCGCGCCTACGTCATATTATGGTGTTCGAGATTTCGTTTTCTTGGAATTTACTTTTAAATGAAGTTGTTGAGTATAGAAGAATCAAGAATAGCCGAATGTAAATTTCTTATTTATTATACCCTACACCAATCATGTGATATAATATATATTAATTTTTGGGTTTAAGATAGATACACATTTTACATTACTAGATTGATTTACAGAACGCGAGTTTTGGGATATTTTAGCGAAGGTTGGTACACTAGCGTGTTCTGACCCTAAGACGAATTTTATCCAAAATAGATTAGATACGACCATTTTTACGATCGCTAACGTCGTACTTTTGAAAGAAGTGTGCTATACGAAAGAAAATTGTTATTTTCGAAATTTCAGAACAAAAATAACTGGGTCATCGCGTTTTGGTATACTAAATTGATATGGAGAATGGACGATGTTTTAAATCTCCTCTGATGTAATCATGTGGCAAAAAGGTATAATTCACCATATTTCGTGGTGAAAATTGGTCCATAATAGTATTTCGATGTAACAATCTACCTAACCAAATTTATGCCGAAGGGGCCAATTTTTTCGCCTCCAACTCATATAAGAGTTTTCATGGAGGGAATAAGTTAGCCTTTACATAGCAAAAACTGCAATTTTTAACAATTAATAATGAAAAGTGGTTCATAATAGCAATTTAACATAAAAATTAACTGCATCAAGTAGGTATATTTTTTTGGGCCCCTCTCATATAATGGCTTTCATTAACAGCCATTTACATGGAAACAGTAATATGTATATAATTAATGAATAATTTTATTAGGCAAAGAAGTGTCGGTGTGTATTCAATAAACGGCCTTGGCCCTACTTATAATGTTTTTACTTGTTTTTTGCTTTCTATTGCTTATTTCATTTATGCAATACCCAAATAGCAAACTCTTACTCTTTACTCAATTTTACGGCAATTTTCATGCCGAAAATGTACAATTCGTCTGAAAACGGCTTATATGTTGCCCCAAGCCTCACCTACAGCAATGATAATTGTTACTATTTATATTTTTTCGTATGTTATTACAATGGAATAATATAATATAATATAAGATTCGAATTTTATATCGCATGAGTATTCGAATAGGCAGAAAATTGGGACTAATAATTTAATGGACGCGGGTTCAAATCTCAAGCGCGATAGAGTTTTCAATCGACGGCCTATAATTCCATACTTTGTAAACTTATTTACAATAAATAAATAAATAATTCGAATTTGTTCACAAGAGTTTCGACTATCCACTCACCATATCAGATTACTACAGCCCTGCACATGAAGTCGACGAAATCGATTCAATGTTTTATGATGAAGGTGATAAGCAAAGATTATTGAATACCCTATGAATACGACATCTTCAACTATCAAATTAAAGGAAAATTATCGCAACGCGGAGATACACTAAATACACCATTATGCTTACTCTCACATTCCCCTCAATCTCCAATCTATTACGAAAATTCTCAGAGTAGTGAAAATTTCTAGAGAAGGCTAGGAATTTTACAGATATATGAAAAGAGATAAAATGCACGAATCTAAAAAAATACGAAAATTAAAAAAGAAATTGTTATTGTATAATTTATTATTTAAAATTTTATATGCAAATATGCCTGTCAGATGGGTGGATATCAGAAAAACCGTAAACAAGCCCGAGTACTACTTCTCGTCTTATGTTTTTAATCGTATTTTATATAAAATTTCTTAATTCTTTATTTTCAGTTATATCGAACAAGACCGTGTTTGTGGATTTTGGACTTGGCTATTTGTACTGTCTAAATTACCTGAACTTGGCGATACTATCTTTATAGTTTTGCGTAAGCAACCGTTAATCTTCCTACATTGGTACCATCACATCACAGTACTAATCTATTCGTGGTTCTCCTATACCGAGTATACTTCGTCGGCTCGTTGGTTCATTGTTATGAATTATTTCGTGCATTCAGTGATGTATTCATATTACGCTTTGAAAGCCGCACGCTATAATCCACCACGATTTATAGCCATGCTTATAACATCACTACAATTGACACAGATGATAGTGGGTTGCGCTATTAACGTATGGGCACATGGCTTCCTGAAAACACATGGTCCACAATCGTGTAACATTTCACAGACAAATATTAATTTATCGATTGCCATGTACTTTAGTTATTTTGTGTTGTTCGCTCGATTCTTTTATAAAACCTATTTGTCACCGGATGGCAATAAGATCAGACGTATGGCCGCTTCCCTGGCTGCACAAAATACTGCCAAACTATCAACGAACAGTAACGGTGATGATGGCAACAGAAACGTTAATAATAAAAAACTGGATATAAATGCCGACCTAACAATGGCCAGTCATACGCACAAGGCCAAAGCACAGTAAAATTACGGAGAAAATTTCTGGGATAAAATTAAATTGGGCGGGTCAACTAACTAATGTATATGTACATATGTATGTACTAAACGAAAAGGAATCTCTATCTATTTGAAACAAAACAAAAAGAAACGAACGAAAATCTATATTTTTCTGCTCAAAACTCTATTCTCTTAATCTATTGTTTCTGAGAGGAACTTAAAAAAAAAAACAAAAAACCAAAAAAAACAAAAAAAAAATATATATATTTTCTTGCTCTTTTCTCTATCAAATCAAATGTAGGTAAACGACACTGAGTTCTATAAATCCAGTGATGTAGGTTGCATTGTTTGGGCTAGGGAAATAACTTCACATTTGCTGTAGCTGCACAAAAAATTTTTGTTTCTCTTTTCGGTTCTTTTTTTTTCAAAACTAGTAATATTTAGTCGTCCAAGGGACAATACAAGGACGAACAGTGTTAAAATATCAGGTGAAGATCGGGGAAAACATTAATAATAATAATAATAATAATAATAAAAGGATTATTGGGAAAATATTACGGTTTTATACATTTTTTTTTTTTAGATCTTAAGGTTTGAAGGGAAAACACACAACCGTTATTAAACATTGTTTATAAAAAATGTGTGACTATAAACCAAATAAAACAAACTTATGAAATCTATGTAGTGGCACAAAGATCAGTTAGTCAGTCTGTTTGATACATTTACATATTTTGGTATCAAAAATTTGCCGAGACACTTTAGGAAAAAATACCTTTTTTTTTCCACAAAATAAAAAACGAACAAATGTAAAAAGGAAGTGATGAACAAAAATCATAAAATTTACTTACAGTTATATATGTTTGTGTGCGTACATCCCATACGCAATAAGTAAAAATTTTATGAAAAGTCTTTAAAAAAAATTATTTTATTAAAAATCTACTTTAAAAAAAATTAAAACAAATAATTAAGAAAAAAAACATGTATAAGAGTCGTATTCGCCTTTGGTGAATGTTGGTTACCCACCACCGCAAATCAATGTATAGAAGAATTGTAGGTTTCATAGCCCGGAACAAAATTTTTGCAACAAATAGCTAACTGTTCTGTTTTATGAACTATTGTATTCTTTGTGGGAGTACACTTCTGCTCAACTTTCGCGAATTTTTAAAAAAAAGTACGTCCTCTTTCTAATCAATCTAAAAATATAGATATTAAGTTTTATTGTTATTACTTAAATTGGGAAATGATTAACAACATAGATGTTGAGTCTTTTGCTTCAACCAAGTATCATCGACATAATCGGGAATATATATGTACTTATTTGATCTTACAAACGAAAAGACAGAATTTTATATAAATTCGATTTTGGGTGGTGGTGACGGGTATAAAAATAAATTGTTCCAACTACACAAACCAATAAATTATACATTCTAATGTTTCTTTTTCGTGAACAAGTGAATTCCATAGTTTATTAAATTGAAACTTACAACAACTTACGTAAAGTTTTCTTAAAAACACCATACAACGATTTTTATATAAATCCTTCCATAACATAAGTTCCTATTATGTCTTTCTTTATATATATTTTTTTTTTTTTCATTTTGTACTGAGTATATCAGAGAATCTATAAAGTTCGTCGCCCTTCCTCCCCCAAGCACAGGTTTAACAAATCCTCCCAGGTTGCATTAAATTTTCACATCTGTCGATCGGTTGCTAAATCCTAAAAACCGTTAACTAAATTAATGCAATTTTGTTCCGATTGTACATAATACGAATGACGTATGAAAAAATGCAATTTTCATGGACGACCAATCCTTCGTATATCTAGAAAGCATCATTCACCATAAATCAAACAAAGAAATATTTAAATTTTCTGCTATGCTTTGTTATATCGTGATGAATGTGGCATATGCGATGAGCACACGACTCCATCGATATTATAATTTAGTAATTTACAGAATTCCTAGAGACTGTCTAAAAGTCTTGTGCTTCCTTTTTTTTTTTTCTAAAAACACCACACAAAAAATATCGGAAAAGATGATGAGGTAGAAAGCAATGCGCATTGAGTTGTAGAATCAATCGTTCACACTGCATCCTTTTCATGATTTCAAATATTTACAGTTGGATTCTCTTCGGTTTTGTTTCGTATCTTTTTAATAGGAATGATGTTTTTTCTTTTTAATAAAATGGTGTTAACTTTTAATTTAAGTAAAATTATATAAATTAACTTAATTTATAATTAAATCAAAATGATAAAGAAAATATAACAATATTTAGCTTTTAGGTCTCGTATGTGTGTATTTATGATTTATAATAATTAAATAATATATTAAAAACATATATAAAGTTTTTTTAATTTTGTTATTTAAAACAAAGCGCAAATTTTTAAAAGTTTGTTTTTTCCAATAAGAAAAAATCTAAAGAAATTATTAAAAATCAATAAAATTTTAAATGATTTGAACGAATACACGAAGAAAGGAAGCATTTTTGTTTTAGAGATTGAAGAAGAAAGGCAAATACATGTGCGAAAGTATATAGTTTTTCGACTTTTATTTATCGAACTTAAGGTTTTTGCTTAAATGGTTTTACTTTCTATTGTACCTTTTGCTGAGAGTTCCTCTTTTTAATGAAAGAAGACCACGTTTATTCTTTCGCTTATTTGCTTTACTATTAGTAAAAAATGCGAAATAATTCCTCTAATTGAAGAAAAGGATATCTTAGTCTTTTAAGACATGCTTTCACAGTGAGAAATTCCGAACGCATTAGTTTTATAATCTTCATACCTTTGTGCATATATTCCACGCTTCACTTCATTAGAATAACGAAAGGAAGAACATGATAGAAAGGAGCATGATAAAGAAGTCGTACAATGCTCCCTATAAAGTACATTTACCTAATATATATGATAAGTGTGATGTGTACTTCTCTTAATTCCATTGGGAAACCCGTACCGTTACTGTCAGAATAATAACTCTCCAATGAATGCTTAACTACTCTGTGCTCTTTCATTAATCAAAAAACAAAGAAATACCACAAACATCGATTTGGTATACGTCATTCACGCAATTTCCTCGTATTACTAAAAACTATCTATATGATATCTATTTCTTCAAATACTTAATTCTTCGCCAAAATAATAGGCAAAAAAACATATATTCTCTCGGGACGACAGTAGTTTTAGTAAACCTGATACGATTATTTACCATAGGCTTTTCAACGAAGGACTACATTTGCAAGTTGCATGCAAATTTCTTTGCAAACAGCCATAAAGCAAACGCACAGGCTCTTAACTGTCTGGTGGCCTATTGAACTTGCGCTTCCAACAAAATCACAGATTTAATCTGCTACAAGATTGTTACGAACGAGCCACTTGCAATTAAAAATCGCGTTCTGGTTAGAGAGCACATCGATCTCTATTTATTATTATTAATTGCCGAATATAATAATAGAGTGAGTGCTTCCAGCATTTAATAAGTTTAATTACGGAAATTAGTGGAAATATATCTTCTCCTTTTATTTAAACAAAACAAATTATTAATTCCAATTTAAATAAATCTATATTAAATACACAATATTGCAATAAAATTACAGGAATTATTTTTTTTTCCATTTTTTTTAGCATAAACAACCGATAAAAAGATTTAACAAGTGAATCAGTAGAATACAAAGATTAAAATATAGTTTACCACAAAAAACTTTTCATAAAAACCTGTTTATGCATGTGTTTTACAGTTGAAAATAAACGATTACAATTCGTTATAATATAAAAAAAAAATTTTTAACTAAAATTACGAATATCTTTTTTCGAATATTTTAAATTTATTTTTAAAAAATATTGTGGTACAAGAAAAAATTTGATTATGAAATCATTATTTCAGATTGAATTTTTATTATAATAGAAACAGGAAAACTAAGTTCAAATTCTTTATACGAAAAAAACAAAAAAAAATAATTAAAATTGACCAGAAATTTATTTTAAGTCAGCGTATTTTTTATTGTTTCTTTTTTTTATGTTTTTTTAAAATAAATTTGTATGGCTTAAAACGCCTTCAAAGTATAGTTTCTTTTAGTTTATTTGGGTGTTATTTTTCTTCCTTCTGACGACTTCATCTTACGCGGATTTTAAATATATGTATGTATATATAAAAAAAAGGAAATAAGCAGCCTCCCGATAAATTGTCTTCGCTTTATGCTGCCATTTGTTGTTGTTGCTATAATTATTGTGACCACTGTGTTAAGCCATGAAACGTCAAGTCTTTAAAGATGATTTTGTATTCGTTTTTCTGTTTTTACTTTTATTTTTTCCATTTTGCTTTTGTTTTTTTTTTTGTAGTTTGTGTGTAAATATATTTAAATTGACTAGCGACGTTACATTTCTCTCTACGCTCAACATTTCTATAATAGATTTCTTTAACGCCAACAATAAATAGTTCAAGCAGCAGATGAAGTATTATCTCACTTCTTACCGGGAGGCGCTAATGGTTGGCCGCGATCTTTTCCACGCAACTTTATGCCAATCACTCTTTCAATTTTACCCAATATCATATTATTCGGAATGCCCCTTCCAGCTTCATAATCGGTGACGACTTGTTGCTTTTCACAAATTTTCTTTAATTTAAAAATTTGACGTACAATATAATCAAGTTAAGATTTATATCTCTAATCCATATACATCAACGACTTACTGTAGCTAAATCTTTCTGACTCAAACCCTTAGCTTGACGTCCTTGCATAATTAATTTACCCACTTCGAGCGGTATTTTCTCATGCCGCAGCTCTTCTGTCTCACGATCCAATTTAGCAGTGTTTTTAGTCGTCACATGTTGTTTGTTGGTACCGGCGCCATCTACGGAACATGCAATTTTTAAAAATATCTGCATATTTACATCCATATTATTGCCATAATAAATAATGTATTTTTTGCGGCCGTTAAGAATATTTCATCCGAGTAGTTTGAATAGCAAAAACTTGATTAAAAACAGAAGAGAAATCATATTCGATTTTGATCGAATTTTTAATATTCACAAATAGATTATATCGAAATAATCTTCAATCAGTTATGTTTATATCATATACCTTGTTTATGAATATACGTGCATAAATGTGTTTAAAATAAGAGACGCAATGAGGTTCTATTAGTGCACGAAATAATATACGGTATTTGAAATGGTCACATTATACAATTCGACACCGTTCCGCGGACGGTTGCACATACTCAAAACCCCATTTATACATTTCGTGTTATATATAAAAATATATTTGTCCCTACAGTCTCTTTGAACGTACTTCTTCGGTTCTTGAACTTAACCAAAATGAAAAAGTTGAACGATCAGGCTGTTATTTAAAGATAGTTTTGAAATTGTTTTCTGCAAATAAGAAAATAATTTAGTAATTTTTTGTCAATTGCGACACAAAGTTCGTAGAATAATTAAATCTATTGTCAACTTATGGTAAATCAATTTGGTTCGTCTACACAACATTTTTCATTACTCTTGATCCCATTTTAGTGTATGAATTCTCTAATGCACAATTGGCAAAACTGTGGCTCTACGCCGTAGGCATAAGAAAACTGATGCGAGTTTCCGCCACAAGCATACAAATTAGGCATACTAGACATAATAGTTTGTATAAATGACCGTAAAAAGTGGAATGGGATGATTTTTTGAGGAGATAAAAGAACACAATAATATTGAAGTTCAAGTGGAAAGGAGAACTTGGATTAAGCGCTATTAATTTATCAACGGCTTTGAAGACATGAATTCAAACTTCGACCATTCGAACAAAGATAATACCAAAAGAACCTAAAATTATAATTAAAATTTTGTTTTTCGGTAAAGAAAATATAGAAATTTCAAAAAGTGATTAACGTCAAATGGTTTAAAAATATATCAGAGAATATAATTAGAGATAAATACATAGTTAAACTAACTTCATTCGAAGATAAATGAAGTTTTGAATTATTATCAATGTTGCATTTGAATGATGCAGTTAAACTAATTGTGTAACGAGTACCAACAATTACATCAAAAAGAGAAAACTTCAATACGTGGCCTAAAAACAAGAAAATTCAACGACTTGCCTACATAACTTCTAGATAATTATCCTACCATTACTTTCAGTTAGTTCTTCAATTAAAACTTATTTGCTCATTTGGATTTATAAAGTAATATTTTCTAATTTCTGTACCTCCTCTGCTACATATCTTTTTTCTTTTTTTTTGTTCCTAGCAGATATTCTTCTTACAGCTCATTGCAGCATTGGTTCAGCGATTGTCGATACCATCACATATTTATCTTTCAGAATACACCATTTCAAAAAACACAAAAATAGCTTTACTTTCACGGAGTTATTTTGAAATGTAGCAAACTATAATTCTAAAAACCGGTTTTTTTATTTGCTCGTTTCAGTTACCTAACTAATTTAACACGATTTATGGTCCAGCAAAACTTCATTTGAACGCAAAGAAATTTACCAAGTTTCACTTATAAATTTGTCAAAACATTGATTGTTACTTCATAAAAATAAAAATAACGTAAATTGGGTCAATGGATACATGCGATTATGAACGTAGGTGAAACTGACCTCCACCCCTCTTCTCGCCACAAATTCTTTAAATTCAAAGTAATTTCATCATTCAGTGCAATTAAACCAAAATATAAAATGAAACATTAGCAATTGACCGAAAGTGGAATCAAAATTTGATAAAAACAGCTTCAGCTTGAAAAAAAAAAGTTGTATTCTAGTCGCAGTTTTATTAATTGATTACACGTGCAGATTATTGACATATATTCAACAAAAATGCTATAAATTCTACTCACATTTTTGTTGGGTTTCAATTGGTACACCCTGGCGACGTGCCGAATTAATGGCCGATTCGGTTTTTAAGGCACCGGCCTTTGGAGCTCGCTTACGTAGGACTGTCACTGTATCCCAATCTGACATGTCTAACAGTTCAAAAATTAAAAGAATTTTTCTGCTCTTCTAGTTTGGTTTGTTAAATGAATATCTTCAATAAAGTAGAAAATATAACTTTCCTCACAAACGTAAGTACACAATTTTCATTATTGCTTACAAAATACTGCCCGATTCCTTGTATTTTATTTTCCAGAAAAATCCATAATCACTGTTGCCATAAGCAACAATTACCCGGATTTGATTGGACTAATAGTGATGGCTGTGTTTGTTATTTTTTTCGTTTTCTTACAGTGTCAATTTGTTTTACTTTAATATTTTTCAGGTGTTGAATTGCCACTCTGTTGAAAATGAACGCAGCATCTCATAAATTAATCAAATTCAATGCTGATAATAATGCCATTGCAATGTATTATTATTAAAAACGCGAAAGAACTTTAACTCAAAATATATTTTGAGTAAAGCATACTTTCAAATATTTAGCATATTACGCCATTTTTACGTGTTTAAGTAAGTATTTGCAGAACGTCTGGCAAATGAGGCATTGTTCTTATATTCTGGTTGGGACTTTAACTTTGCCGACTTCCTACAAAACTTTGTGGGAATTGACAAATCGTATCGTTTTGCATGCATACATACAAATAAAAAAAAAAGAAACGACGGACGAGAGGAAATGATAATCATTTGAAATTTTAAGATTATTTGTCTAATTTAGGTTTGATTTACACTAATCTATATTCTTTTATATTTAGTTGTTCGTAATTTTAGTTTGTACCATTATTTAGTAAAAAATGTTAAAGAAGTTAACATTTATTCATCAATTTGTTTTGTTAGAAAGTAGTAAATGGTAATATCCAAATTATGGATATGTACAAAAAGGTTCTTGATGGTTTCATAAGATTTAAGCAGAAGATAATGAAGATCAACAAAATTGTAATTTTTGCTATTTATGTTTTCGTTAACTTCTTTATTTGTGGTTCTAAAAGCATATGTTTTTCGTGTAAAACAATATGGCCGCCCACTGCGGATTCCACTTAGAGAATCTTTAAAATGACGCCTTATTGTATTAGCCCTCTATAGGCTTTATAAGTAATTAATAAACACTGTCGTCACTATAGCAACTATGTATTTATGACATTTTTCAAAGTTTGGCATCTCTGTTGCTTAATTGTACTTGCTTTTGCTTTTTTCATTTTAGAGAAAATTCAATTTTTTCAAAAGCCATTTCTTTTTAATATATATAAAAAAATGGGAGATTGCAAAGATGAGACTGTGAAAATATGCGAAGAACCACAATTAGGAGTTGAAGGTGAACCATTGGAAGCAGATGAGTGTGAAAAAGCCGCCGCCCTTCCAGTTATTATACCCGGTGTACAAGTATCCAACATTGAAGAAGTGGTGAAAGCGGATCCCGATTGTTATGAATTGAATTTAAATCATAATCGCATAGAGAAACTTGAAAAATTCGAGTTGTTGACAAGGGTAGAGCGTTTATATCTACGTTGGAATCTGATAAAAAAAATTGAAAATTTGTGTGTGCTTACATCTTTGGTTGAATTAGAATTGTATGATAATCAAATTACTAGATTGGAAAATTTGGATTCTCTAGTTAATCTTCAAATTCTAGATGTGAGTTTCAATCGTTTGACAAAGATTGAGAATTTACAAAATTTATTGAAATTGGAGAAACTATATTTGGTAGCCAATCGAATTACGAAAATCGAGAATATAAATATGCTAACGAATCTAACTATGTTGGAATTGGGTGACAATAAGATAAGGAAAGTTGAAAATATTGATAGTCTAGTAAATTTACGTCAGTTATTTTTGGGCAGAAATAAGATATCCAAAATAGAAAATCTTGATAATCTGATTAATTTGGAACTACTAAGTTTGCAAGCAAACCGCATCACGAAAATTGAAAACATGGAAAATTTAACAAAACTTACCGAACTGTATTTATTCGAAAACGGAATTGAACGAGTCGAGAATTTAGATAATAATGTTCAACTAGAAACTTTAGATTTGGCCAAAAATCGTTTAAAATCTATAGACAATATAAATAATTTAGTACGGCTCGAAGAGTTGTGGCTTAATAATAACAGTATTGATAATTGGAAGAATGTGGAAGTTCTTAAAGAAAATAAAACATTAAAAACAGTCTACTTGGAACATAATCCCGTCGCCTACGAAGCAATGTATCGTCTTAAACTCAAAGACATAGCGCCTTGGTTGGAGAAAATTGATGCTACTCTGTGTCGATAAAATCTAAATAAAACGACAGACGTTTCGCCTCAATCAATTGCATTACCTACATTTATTATTAGCAATCATTAAATTTGAAAACTGAGAAATTTTTTCCAATATATTTAAATTAAATGATCAAACATTTCTAATTTGATTCCAATGTAAGTTAATTTTTTGTTGATGTACTCATGTACGCTCAATAATGATTGCTTTCCTACATTTGTTAATAAAGTTCTCGCTTTTTGTTGCTAATTAAAATTTTTTTTAATAAATTCTAAAATTAATTTAATTTTTTAGGTTTTTTTTTGGATCAGATCTCTAGCAATTCATGCCTGTTTTTCCTTTGGTATAATAAAACTACTTTGCTCAAAGAGTTGGCATATGGTTTGCACTAAATTTCTCGGGGCTCTAATATTAAATTAAATGTCGGTATATATAATAATAAAACGAAGACAATACAGAGACACAACAATGAAAACAAGAAGACTTTGTGAAAGGCAATGTCCATCTGTTCCCACTTCCATACAGTTTACGGATGGAATGTCGAAAGAACTTATCTTGTTTCAAAGTAAAATATTCATAAAAACGACTTTACCTTTATAATCTCCAGTAAATGCAGGCGTTTTCAATGATATAAGTAATAATCTGAAGGAACATTTTCTGGCGAATGCTGAATCGATAGTGAATACTTTCTTCTTTTAAACCGTTTGAATAAATGTTATGGTGAGTTTCCATCTTTGCTTTGACTAATTACTACTAACATAAAACGCACATTCCTTGTTCGCTGACATTGGAGCCTCGCGAAATTATCTTACATCGAAGTTATGTGATTTTCATGGCAGCGAAATTCGCAAGTGGTCTCTTCGCCTTAGCATTTTTAGAAGAAAATCTACTTTTCATCGCCACTACTATTTGGCAAAGCCTTTGTTTAAAACACAATAAAGGAGGGAATATTTCGACACAACTACAAGATTTTATTTGCGAACCCCTCAACTTAGTTTTAATACAACAATATCGATATTATCATCGTCTATGTTTCATAACAAATATCAGTTTGAAATTACATAGCACTGTTTATCAAATCCCTTCCTTTTTCGGAAAAATTGGTTCATCCGAGCGCAATCTATAGTACATAATATAATATGTATAACTTTTTAATTGTTTTTATTTTATATACATTTTATTTTTTAATAAACTGCATATATACTTAAATTTTGCTCTACGTTTGCTTTAAAACTTTAATGTTCTTATGTACAAAATATATATTCGTTACAAAGTTTTTCTAGATCAAAAATTGAGATTTAACCCATACTGTTATTATTTATTCATTAAATTTTTTTTTTTATTCCAAAAGAAAAAAATATTTAAATATATATTTTGTGGTTTTTACTTTAGAGATGATGAGCATTGTGATTTAATCTTAATTATTATATAGTAGTGTTGTTGTGTTAGTGTTAAAAAATGTCTTTCGAAAAAATGAAATAAGAATAATCCGGATCCATTGCGGATTGCATGGGTATCGATAAATGGTATGATAAAACGGTAAAGTGAATAAATATTTAATGTTTTATTTATTTTACTGTAACTTTTAGAAATGTAGGGAAGTTGAGTGAAGAGATTTTTCATATATATATATATATATATATATATATCATATTATCATCAACTCGAAGTGGATCAGGACGTTAACATTAAAAACACAAAAGCTTTTGTTATTAAAATAATAAAAATTAAAACAACTCAGATAGTTTTATTCGTTTCAACGCGCGCGCAAACTTTACATACCAGCCACTCCAGGGGTTTTCGGTAATAATTCAACTAATATACCGTTCGGGACTCTTCTTGTCTTGAAATATTGCAAAATCAATTTAAATTTTTAAGCTTCTTGTGAAAATTTTTTTTGCCGAAAATTCATTTTGCTGACCTTGGTGCATATATCTAAATATACATTCGTCAAACTTCAACTTTTAATCCCTATTGATAATTCTAACAATATTCAGAAAAAACTCTCACTCTCTCCCCCTCTTTCCTATCCCTCGTTAAGTGCTAGGTATAAAAATGTCTACATTTAAAAAATTAAAACTAATTCATTAATTCAAAGACAAACAGAATCTTTAAAAAGTACGCAAAAGTAAGCTAAATAACGTATTTTTGATTGATTTGAGAACAATGTTGAGAAAAGACGAATAGTTATGTGTGAGAAGTTAGCATTGTTGATAGCATATACAATGGCTTAAGAGCCACCTATAGATGCAACATTAGAACTAGCATCACCTTTTAAAGCAGTGGCGTAGCTATTGGATGAAGGCGATGCCTTTGTTTCATTGTGTTTGGTATTGTTGTCGGTAGTATTGGCAGCAATAATATTAGTCGCTGTAGTAACACCTGTAGCCACACCTAAAGATGGTGCGGGATTAACTGCGGTTTAGAAAAAGTTGAAGAAACGAGAAAAAGAAAACGCAATAATTACATGATTCTAAATTAATTAGAGGCACACGTACCTCTTACATCCATAGCGTAACAATCGTCAAGGCGCAGATCATGCTTTTTAATTAACTGGCAGTCAGCGCCCTCCATTGAAGGCACAGAATACACGTATAAATAGCCATCCTGAGAAGCGATTAGAAGTCTAGATCAAAGAAAGTAATATGTTTCAAATTAGTTCTGTTTCTTCACGATTTGAAAACTTACCTCAATTGTTTTTGTATTTTTGTTATGGTGCATATGCGCCTAACACCAGGCTCCGCAAGAGTAACCGAAGCAAAGGCACGACCTTGGCTAAAGACGTCGGTTACCTGGGAAGGTAAATAGCTAGACACAGTCTTGCTAAGGAATCTAAAAAACGAGTAACTTTTCAGTTTGCAAAGTGTTTAGAATTTGTACGGATGTTATTAAGCGATTCATTATTGTCAAATATTAAGGAAAGTAAGGAAATATATTACAATAGTGATGTAGCGGCAACACGTAATATTAAGTGCGTTGATATATGTGTGGAATGTTGCGTGTTTTATGTGTGTAAAAAGGCAAAAATAGTCAACGAGAACAACATAAAGTGAATTGAATGAAAATAAATGAAAAGAAAAGAAACAGAAAAAAAATTAATGTAATATTTTTTATTTTTTAAATGGAAAATATAACAAAAGACAAGGAAGGAAGACGAAACAGATTTAAACGGATGCATGGATTCCCTCCACCCACAGGTATTCCCAAACACGAGTTCTAAGTAAACTATTCAAAAATTTGTAAAAACTTACCCCATCCAATCATCTGAACTTTGTTTCGGTTCGCTATTTTCCGACGAGCTACGTTCCAAACGAAATACATGCACAGTTTCCGTGTTGGAACTGGAAACTAAGTACTCAGCACATGTACTGAAGGATAACGAGGCGATAGATACACATCGTTTAAGGCCTCGTCGTAATTCAAACAATTTAGTGCCGTCCAGCGAAGAAAATACTCGTATAACCGTACCGCGTTCACTGGCTGTAGCTAGCTCGGTACCCGAAGGACTAAATGCTATAGCTGCCAAAGGGCTATCATGAGCGGGTATCATTGTCTTGGCATGTAAATTGATAGCATCGAATATTTGCACCTCACCCGACGTAACACTGCCCGGATAGGCCAAATAGCAATGTTCCGAAGATGAGCTTAATGCACACAAACCAGCTGAATTGCTAGGCGTATCGCGTATGGTGTGCACCACCTTCATATCTTGAATATTATGAATATACAAGCTCTCTTCAAGGCAGACAATCAAACGTTCACGATTTAATTTTACGGCTAGTATGGAATTTGAATAGGAATAGTTGCATATTTCGCTTTGTTTTTTAAAATGGCAAACCTGTTTTTCATATAAAAACAGCTAAATTAAATAATTTAGAAACTAGGCTATCTCACAAAAAAAATAGACGCTAACCTTTAGTTTCCTAGGTGAACGTTGTGACACAATGGCCACTAAAGAACTTTCAAATAAACGTTCGATTAGAAATATCTCTTCCGTAGGACATGTATATATTTTATCCAATGTTGAATCTACCGAACCCAAACTATATAAGCTATAGCCAGATTTTGTGGCGACAGCCAAAGATCTATTTGTTAACAATACATGTATTTATAATCATTTTCGTGTATATATATATATATATATATATATATGTATACTTCATCTGTATAAGCCTATGCTAGGACTTACGTGGTATTTTGATTGAAATTAACGAATACTTCACCAGCGTCCAAGTCTGGTCGAAATAGTAAGCTCATCATTGGTACGATTTTTGTTTCTTATATCAATTAACTCAAAAATTATGAAAAAGAATATCACACAATTACAAAATAAATTGGGAATTAATTCTAAAATCTGGAAGAAAAACAAAAAAAACTCAATAGCATAAACTGCTAAGTATTCCCAAAATAATAAACTTACCACCACCAGGGAAGCATACACGACTGAAAATTAACTGATTAACTACCTGAGCATCTAAGGTTTACCTCTTTTTAAAAAACTTTCCTTTTGTTAATTTAAAGTACGGATGTTGCAAAGAATATATTTCTTGTTTCCTTTATTATGAAGAAAGAAATGATAATTTTTTATTTTCCTAAAGGCGCAGTTAGTTTATTTTGATGTTTTTTTTTATCACGTACTCTTCGCCACCATAAAATCAAGCAAAAAACAAAATAGTAGAGCAAGCAAGAGCACACAGTCAATGCATAGAGAAAAGCAAAAATTCTCTCAAGAAGGTATTATGCTATGTTTATTGCTTTTGTTTATTGTTCTTGCTTTTCATACAAAAATGATTTTCCTTTGTCTGAAATTAATTGCACCTTACTTTACTGCATCAAATATACAAATATACAACACTTAACAGCTTTTCTTCTAGAAGCAACCTTTCTGATATATTCAATAATATATTTTACCATCAATTCAATTTGTACATTGATTATTATATTAAATAAAAATTTGCAACTAGCTGGATAAATAAATATATGAAATAGCTAAATATGTTAAACTTCCAACGCGAAGGGATTTGACTACATTTAAAGGATATGATTACCACAAACAATGTAAGTCAGAGAGGATTGGGAATTTATGCCCTCTGAACATTAATATATTAAGATGCAAATGTTTGATGCTGTGAAATTAATATTTTATCGTAAGTTTCCGAATCATGGGTGGGTATGAGAAAATAAATGCATATGTCTCGTAATTTAAACTCCGCTGCGCAGTTCCACTATAGCTCATGGTTGCAAACCAACACTACACGGAATAATATACACCTATACATATATTTTTTTTTTTTTTTGGTATGTTGAACAGAGATGGACTAAGCCAATAGATTTGTGCACCTATACATATATTACAATCAACGACTGGCATGAATTCTCTTCGCCGTTATTTATGGAATGTTTACTCTACGTTCTTATAATCCATCAAAAAAGAGAACACTGAATTTGTTAAATATGACACTTAGAAACCCCCTTGAGACATCAGATACCTTTACAATAGCTCATTTTATAACACTGTCTGTTGTTCTATTCGCTGAAGTCGGTGTTGCATTTTGAACATTTTGTTTATCATAGCAACATAATATGTTCCCTCCACTATAATTGGATTAACTACGAAAATTAATGAAATTAAGAACCCAAATGAAACATCTTATGTATTCACAGCAGTGTATATAAAATGTGACATATTCATATGTGCGGATATATGGGTTATGCCTCAAATCCCAAAAAAGGGATTTTTTAATGTATTAAGATACAATCCATAACCTTTTGTGTAAGTTACACAGCATAATTAAACATAATTAACTAAAATAACAAAAAACAATTTTGCACGATATCTTCTTCTTTCTCTTTTTGTGTGCCTCGATGACGTTTAAACGCCTTTGGGTTTAGAAGGATCTTTCCTGTTATATATTTTTAGTCGAAAGATAATTTTTAGGAAAGTATAAACACACAGCATTTATTCTAGAATGGCTATAAGTGTATTTCCTATTGTAGAAATGTTTTGTTATGCATTTAGAAAATCAAGATTTTGCGCAATTCTGTTTGTAATCTTTTTTCTTAAGTCAAATTGAGATTTATCAATACTGCCGTTTGGATTTAGTGTATTGGAATATTAGTTCTAAGTCTATAAAATAAACATTTTCTCCTTCAAAATAGATCACGACAACACTGTCACGGAATAAAAATCACAAAAAAAAATCCAGCTAAAAACAAGAACGCTACATAACCGTGTTGACATTTATGGGAAATTTGTGAATTTTGATCTGGAAGAAATTTGTTTATACTTAATTAAACAAATTCTCAAATCCTTCCCTTTAAAATAGATTTAAAAGCAAGAAAATATGAAAGAAAACAAAATATTGAAATTAATACACATAGCATGGCGTGAACGTTGGTCGGACTCACAATTTGGTATTAACATAAAAAATGTAAGTAAATCTTAAAAATAAAAATTTATTCTCTAAATAAATATAAAAAAAAAGTTCACCTTAGGTATCATATCTTTACAATGTTTTTAGAATTTGACTAGAAAAAATAAAATTTTCTATTAGAGAGCACAAGCTATTTAATATTCATAATAGTCAGTCGATGTGTTAATCATCATATTCTTTTGTTTTGGCGAATGTTAACATCAATTGTCTTTGCTTTATAGTTAGCTGCGGCGGTATTTTTATTTTAACGGCTATTACGTGATCGGCAGGACATTCCCGTGATCTTATACCTTTGCCCTTTACGAATTTCGTATGCGATTCAGTGCCAGGTGTTTTCAAATTTACATCTTCGCTCACCCCGCGTATTTTACACGTTCCGCTAATACAGCTTTGGAAATCGTTATATATTTATCGTTCGGTAAGTTATTACCTTCACGAGTAAAGTAATTGCTGTACATAACTTGAATGCGATAATTAGTGCACTGATCCGTGAGGATTTTTTACTAATACTTTACCACCAGTTTTGACAAGTGGTATAGGTATTGCTACTTTGGCCGCATCCATAACGAAGCCGCTATTATCACACATATCGCTTTGATTACGATGAGTGTAACGTTTTCCATTACACTGATCACAAACGACCATTGATGAAAATGATTCTGATCTCTTCGGCATCTGAACTGTTCCTTTGCGCTTCCGACATTTCTCTGTACCCAAGAACTTAGACGTACGATGTGATTTGCCATTGTAAGATGGGCGCTTTTTTAAATATTTCATATCAACCGATTTCTTTTTTCCATGTGCGGCTTCAAGATACGTCAATTCCAAATTTGTATCGGTGTTGGCCATTTTAAGCTAATCTATAAAATTATCTCAAATGAAAACGAGTTGAAAAAAAAGCCAAAGATAATGTATTAAAAACATTGATATGTTACAACTCATATCGTGTTTTTCTTTTAAACTTATGCCGAAGGTCCGCGTCATTTTAAAAAAAGTACCGCATAATATGGAGCTGAGAAGATACACGAATGCGTATTGTTTTTAAAATGAACTGTTGTCAGTTTCAAATGCATTTACGTACCGTTATGAGAAAGTGTATTAGGTGTAATGCCTTACTTTCTTTTGTTGCCACTGTTTGCAAAGTGTCTTTTGCTGAATTCGGAGGTTTTCTTCGATTAATAAACTCAGTGGGTGGATCTAATAATGAAGGTACAAATTTAGCTTGGGATTTTGATGATGATGTGGTGACGTGATTTCGCTTTTTTTCTATGTTCATATGCTTGGCGTCCAATTTATTTTCATGATTCTTGACGTTATTCACAATACAATTATAAGCTTTCATAATATCCCTAAAACGTTGCGATTCATTCTTTGTACCGCTATTGGCATCGTCATAAAAGTTTTTAGGTAATGTGTAATACGCAGCATTGATTTGAATCGTGGTAGCATTTTTAGAAACACCCAAAAGTTTGTAACGATGATCCATAGGCACGTCTTTATTTTCGTCTACTTCAACACTTCTCTCGATTTGAAGCGGTTCTTGGTTCTATTCTGAATTAATGCAACATTCTAGCATATAATATTTGAGAAAAATTTAGAAGATTATCGAATACGGTACACGGTATTAATTTCGATTGGTTTAACATCGTAGTTTTCTATACGATATTTTCGTAGGCTTGGCTAGATTAGTGACTGTTGGGCTAATGCTATAGAAGCGACGATTTTTCTGTGTTTGTTAAATATAAATAAAAAAATTTAATGCGTTTTTCCAGCACGACGCGAACAAAAACTATGTGCTGCAACTATTGCCCCGAATTCCCGAAAGTGGTAAAAACGATATTCAAGAAATATTAAATTGAATTTTAAGGGCAAAGGATATAACGGCGTTATCTTGTATTCGTTTCTTATCTCAATGTTATTTTTTTACTGTTTATGAAACTCGTGTTTTCGAAATCGATAATTATGGAAGCGTTAATGATTAATCGCGTATCTTTCTGCTGTTTGCCATTTAAATCCCACTACGTCAGCTATAAGTACTTTCAAAAACTCCTATAATATTTGGAGAACCTGTGAAAAAAAAATTGTACAGATAAAGGTGACTTGGACATACGTATCTTGAGTTATGCTGTTATATCTTGTATTGAAAATCTTTTTATTTGTTTTACTTAAAATAGTTTTCAATTGTAGGTATTACCTCGGGGAGTTAGTGGTGATGTTTATAACTTGGCAGATTCTATATTGCAACAAGCTTTAATAGGCTCTACAGCCAATCCCGTAAGTTGAACGAATGCATATATTTAAGCGATTAAGTGATTACTTTAAAATAATTTATGTTTGGATTATAGTTGGTTTTGAACTACTTAAAACATTCATTATGTGCGCATTTAGTTTCCCACGCAGCCGTCCTAAGACGAATAGCTAAATATGAGCACTTTGAACGTTTGTATTGCACAACATCATTACTTGATTTTCTGGATTCCGTTATAGCAGGAGTAACGTGTCGGTAAGTTTCTAAAAAGATTTCTTTCTTTTTTCATTAAACTGTGATTTTATTTCGCCATAAGCGCAAAGACTGAAGAGGCCATTCTACCTGGAGCTCTAGTATCTTTGATCAACTGGCTAATGCAAGTCTTTGCAATGATTACGGCACATTATGAGATTCACCGCGAATTAAATTCAGGTAATTACTAAAAATTAGAAATTTGTTGGGTTTTATATGTAAGAATTCAAATTTTCTTTTCAGAACAATCATATATGCTTGGTCAGTGCTGTTTAGTAATTGAGAAAGTCATCAAGAATCAATTCCTTATGGCTATAATTTACGTGGGATGTCATGAAGACCCTGATTATTATGGCCAGATACGCGAAAGATATGCTGCCATTAAAACTTCATTGACAAACTCCAATTTTAACCCGACTCATCCGTCTATCGAAGCATATCTACACCAATTGGCTTACGTTGATGTTCATCACTTAGATATGCCTTTGTTGGATATTCAACCTAAACCAGAACCGGTTACTTATTGTGTACAGCCTCTGTTAACAGTCGATGTTCTCTTGAATCCTTGCAACGATACTTCATATTACGTAGCGAAAATACAAATGGTACAACGCTTGAAAAAATTCTCCAATACTCGTCTGTTCTACGAAATTGTGCGAGCAGGCTTTGTATCGTTAAGTAACGTTATGGAAACTACACATGATACGATGTGGGGCGCATTTACATTTTTTAAAGTGCCACAGATCATTAAGCAATTGCAAGCTTTGAATAGAGGTAAACAAAGAAAACTTAGAAATTACATATAGACAATGAGGAAAAAATTGATTTTCTTTATTTGTTGTCTATTTAAATTCATTTCAAAGTAGGAGGAGGCGGGGTAATCCGAAAATTTGATCTTGTTTCAATACCATTTTTCTTTGGCAAACTAGTTATACGGTTTTTTTTTTTTTACAATTAAATAGATGAAAGTCGAAATAAGTTCGTTAAGCTAAGATAAAGATAGATAGATAAAAATAATGGGATCCTAACTACAAAAAATTGAAAAAGCTGGCATCAAAGAAAGTACAAATTTTATTAATTCAATTCAAAAATATATGATTTTCTGAGCGAAAAGAAGAAGGTTTAAATAGACGATATGGTATGCATATATATCCAGTAAATTATCTGTTTAAGGTAACTCTGTTTTCTCTGTTTATAGTTTACAATGTTTTAAATAACGGAAGTTGATGATACTCTTAAACTTAAAAATTATGAAAATTATAACTTACTACTGTGGAAGATCAATATTTGAGAAGTTCTTATAAATTCACGAAACTGGTTTTTTACGCATTTTGCCTTGCTTCTAACATACATCTTAAAATAACCATCATGTTCCAATCGTTCTCTCGTCCTTGATGGTACTGATCCCCTCAGTTTCTTTTCTATTTTCTTCTTTTCTCTGTTTATTATTAATGCAGACCTATCGAGATGATTCGGATCAACATTTCTCGATGTTAATCCTCATTTCATTTTGCTTTTTATATTGGCCACACGAATCTACGTTGGTCGTTTATTTTCTAACCTGTTAAAGATTAGTAAAGGACGACGCATTTAGCAGAATAAAATTTTTAATGATGTAATGATCATTTATAAAAAATATTAAGTAAATAATACTTGTTGTTGTTTACTTCAGCTGTGGGAGAACAGACGCCTAATGATTATATACCTGAAGTGGTCGAGGCTATTGAATTATTGCTCGAAGATAAACTTTTACTGGATTTTATGGATAGCAAATGTTCCTGCAATATCATTGAATACCTCTTAAATGATTGGACCAAACAGCACTTGGTTAACGATATGCACGTTAAGCATTTCGCTGCTCAACGGGAAGGTACTTCTGTACTTTTACAGAAACGTGACGCAAGTACACAGGCGCCATCTATCATAAATTTCATAATACGGGCTGAAGTTCCTCTTTCGGGGGTATTAAAGACGTTAAGTACAGATTATAATAAAGTTCAAGAAGCGTTACTAGGAGTCTTGTGCCAGGTGTTAGTAGGTAAGTTGCAACAACTCGTGTAACATCCGAATAAGTTTGTGCGGCGCCATATTCTCTTCCTGTCCAGCTCTTTGTCTACCTAGATATGTATGCTGGTATACTGTGGTCCGGGCAAAGACAGTATTTTGATATAAAAAGTGAATGCAGACAATTTGAGACAATATGAGACAATATGAGACAATTTATTAACTTTCTTCCTTATAAATGTGTTATAAATTGTTAGCATTTATATAACAACAATGTGCACTCTTTAGTATTTTATTGTAAAAATCGTCCAATAATAATGATTTAATATTCAAATTAACTGTGGTAAACTAATCAGTGCATTTAACAGGCTTTCTTTTATTTAAGCGCTCTCATTAAAAGCAATTCTTTATATGGGAATAAATTTCTCGACACTTTTTATGTATATTACGATAAAATAGCTGTATGTTCGCCAGTGTCCGCGACTATGGGGACGTAACTTGTTTTGTATAGATATTGTCACATAAGTATTCGAGCGTATTTTAGATTGATATTTATTATCGATTAGCTATTGACGAAAATATTTTTCTTCTTAGTTGCAGCAGCGATCATTTCTTAGCTTAATTTCTAAAATTCAATGAAGAGCTTATGTGCAAATATTCGGCTTTCTCTTCTTCGATTTCTCGCAGTTTTGAGAACTTTTTTGGGACATGAGACACTAGTATTTGTTATTCGAATAACCTCGGCAGTAATGTATATAATTTATGTGTGTTGTAATGGTTTATTACAATCGCAATAACTGGATCTTATCCTCTCATGATGGATTTAAAAATAGAAAAGTAATTTTATTTATTTGCTGTTTCATTCAATTAGGAAACAGTTTCGATTTAATTCTCTCAGTGGCTACCGTGGAGGGACGTCTAAAAACATTTGTTTCACGCTTAATACTATGTAATGAGAATTCAAAACAAGTACCCGGTGAAATGGGCAAAGCATCAATCATACGTTCCACTTTATTCGATGTATCATTTCTTATGTTAACTTTTATAGTGCAAACCTATGGTTCTGATGTAAGTCTCCAAAAGGAATAGAATCTTTTATATAATTTTTAAGCTTCTTTAATTGTCTTAAGGCGGTCCTATCAAACAATGGAGATAGTTTTTTTGAGAAATGGGTTCGTGAGTGTATGGTAGAACGTAACAAACCAAAAAACCCTCGCAATATGATTGTTATGTGTGATGAAAATATGGTCGACGAATTGTTACTGAATTTAAGTAAACCAGAACCTCAACTTAAAAATATGTAAGTGAGAAACTATCGCAGTTTCGCACAATTAACATTTTTGCATTTACATATTATGACGCCTTTTGTTGCATTTATCATAGCAATATCACCTGGCAGGACGTATGTTTGAATTTGCCTGGTGTTCTATATCAAGTTTTGATAGCATGGGAGAAAGAGACACTATCTTCAGCCGATGTGAAAAATATTTTAGATAATATCAAAAGGCGACTATTCTCATTTTCCGTATGTGCTACATCGTTTTTGTGTGCGTACATGTGCTCAGTGAAAGAGGTAAGCTATAAAGCCAAGTATCACAAGATAACCACTAAATTAGAATGAAAAGGTTGAACTTTTTAAAAGGATGTGACATGCAAAAAAAAAGAGAGCCAGAAAAGAACAAAGAAAATGCGTCAATTTATTAGAAAAGATTGCTTAATTATTATTTGTTGTTTTCTATTTCTTTTTGCAGAATGAACTATTGAAACCTTTAAATATGATTCAACAATTCCTGGCACCACCCAGTGCCGAAGAAATGTCTTCACAGGAGAACATCAAAGAACGATTGGGTTTATCGTTTCAAATTATACGCAAACTGCAACATGATGTACGACCTACGGTCAATCCCAAGTCACGTAGTATAACTTTAGTGCAAAATTTAGTCTCACAAACGCCACTAATGGATCAATTTCGAGACGTATGGCGTACGGTTAACGAAAATGGTTGGTTGCCGATTCGAGCTGCTCAAATATTAGAATCACTACTGCATGCAGGCGGGGCTGCATGGTTAACTACTCGTTTATTGGAGGAAATACTCAAGTGCAAATATATTCACGTAGGTGTTTTTATAGTCTACATATATGTATATATAAATAAATAGATATGTATGTATGAAAGAATTACTTTCTTTTTCATGCCAATAGGATATGATGAAAACTATGGATATTGTGTTTGCAATTCTACATCTGGATATCGAACTCTCTACTGAAGCCTTATTAACTCAAGTGGTGCCCGCGATGATACAAAATCGTCAAGGGTGAGGTTTGCTAATGTTTATAGGAAGTAAACTTAAGGTATTTCTTTTTTCAATTCCCACTTAGAGAGGATATTGATGAGCCGCATTTACATGTTCTGGCGCGCCTTTGCGTTTATTGTATTATATCGGCTGTGGAGACTCGTCATTATACAAATTTTAGCTACCAAAAGAAACGCTCGCGATCACATGATGGCGATGACATGGATTTAAATAATACTGTTAAAATGCGCAAAATTAATACAGATAGTTCGGACAATTCGTCTTCAAATGACTTCTTGGGTGATAGTAATCTCTTTAATACTCACGCCTCAACACATTTAAGGAATACACCCAACCAATTGAAAGAATCTTTGCAAAATAGTATTCAATATATATTCAAGATATTCCAGCAGTTTCTTCAAACTGATAAACTCTCGTTAAAGGTTTATTTTGTTTATCAGTTTGTATCGTTGTTGGTGGAATGCGGTCAAGAACGCGTTCGCCTAGTATTAAATCTACTACCAACAAATTTAATTAATAATCTTTTGAAAGTAATGCTTACAGATCAAATTAGCGTTGGTCTTATAGCTCGGTAAGTAAAAAATGTCCTTCTCATTGTTAGAAATGAATGAATTCATTTATATTTTTTTGTTTGTTTCTGTTTTACAGACTTTACGATTTACGTACAAGCTGTGGTCGCCAAGCTGCCGTTGCCGATCTAACTTTATGGCGCAATCTTAAACTTAAAGAGCAAAGTATACATTTGTAAAACAAAATAAATAATTGAAAACAAAACGAACGAACTTATATTCAGCTTAAAAATAATCTTTAATATTATCCAAATGTATGATGATATTTTTGAAAAATCGACCCATAACTCAATTTGCAATTTACAACCTTTGAAAAGATTAGAGCAAATGTAAAACCTCGGAAATGTAATTTATCAACTTTGTATTTTTAGTTCATCAAATGTGGGACAATAATTCACAAGTTCCGATTTTCCATTTACATAAACGTTATTATTTTCAATTCCGACTAACAGCATCCTGAATGGACTGTAATTTTTCACACTTTTCAACAACTTTTTTTTACAAATATGCGACTGTCTGCAACTAATTAGGCAACAATCGGTACAAATACTTGAATTGCATGTTTGCAATGAAATAAGTATTATTGGCCGCTTTTAGGCTTTTATTCAGATAACCGAAATGTGTTCTTTTAATATAAGATTAGAAAGGAATTTTTGTGTTACTATATTGACGGCGTTTTCATTTCCATGACGAAAATTCAAAAACGGTGACAGCACGTAAGCGACACACAATCCCACTCTCACAATGAAATGGAATTATTTACACGCGGAAATACCAAAATCTGGTTAGAGAACCATTGGATGATTTCAAAAGCTCGAATCTGTCTCTATGGCCTGCCTTATAAGACGTTCACAATTAGCAAAACACTTCAGTTGGTAAGCAACCAAGTTATTTGCTAAATAATATTATTTAATGGCTACAATACGTAAATGTTAAATACATTTTTTAGTTAATTCTCTTGTTAAATCAAATTATCTAAACTATTGGATTTGCGATGCGTGATGCGGGTTTAGCAAGAATAAATTAGTACATTGCCATTCCAGTGGGTATGAAACTCTCAATTTCAGTTCAAGTCTATGAAGGATTTAAATTGCGATAACTTTTCTGAATTAATTGTCTATTCTACAGAAGCCACATTTCAGATAATCTGAAATCCACAAAATAGTTTTTAACTATAGAGTGAACGTATATTAAGTTGTTTCAACGTTTTATTGTAGAGTTTTAATTAATATACCTTCTGTAATAGTTTACTTCTTACTTAAATATTTCACTTGCATTATAAATACAAGTTATTAAGTTACAATATAATGAATAAATTGTTTCATCTTTTTAATGATTATATATTTTTAAAATAGATTATACAAATTTCTTACTACAGGGCTTAACAAGTGGATTAATTTGCAAAAGAAGGTAATACTAAACACTGTTTAATAAAATGTTTCAAAACAGCCAAAGGACGGCTATGGGTTTTTCCGGAATATAAATAACAAAAGAAAAGTCTTCAGTAGTGTTGCAGGGCATATAGTAAAGAGTGCGTATACTGTTTGAAATATAAAAATATTTAGAGATTATAAAACTGATCATGCACATATCGCTCGACTGCGAGATTCATTTTTGACACAACTAATGAACCAGTGTCGGCATTAAACATGTTACCGAGGTGTCAGTGGTTACACCACATTTAATCTGTAAAATTGATTGGTTGATTAAATATTTATAATTTCTTTTGTCCCAATTTTGTTCTTTTTTCCTTTTGTGTGTGATTTTTTTGGGCGTCTGTAAAATATTGATGCTTTGCTTTAAATTAACCAAATCATGCACCTTATGTTAACTTAACTTTCCCAGTTGTTCATATAAAATCTTGCCATATCTGACATAAAAATTGCCTTCCCATGTAAATTGGGGGATAAGTGTATAGTTTGTTTACTGAGGGTCTTTTTATCTTATTCTTCTTATTCTTTTCTCTATTTTATTTATTTTTTTTATTATCATTACAAATTGTATCAATTATTTTGAAAAATTAAGTTAATGTAAAAGCGACTGCCAAAACCCAACAGTAAGGCCAGTAGACAGACGCCATAGCTTAAATTAAATACCTTGGATTTTCTATATCACTTGAGGCAACATTCAAAATATGTTTCACCCACAAAATTGCCACGCATTGCTTTAGACACATTATGTTCGAATAGGCGACGATTTGTTTGCAAAACTTCAGCGGCTTCTTTATTCAAAGGATCTTCCGGATTGGGTTCCTTTTAAGGAAACAGATAAAATTATATACATTTGTTTTTTTTAGCCGGCTATTAGTAATTACCAAAAATAGATATTGTAGACCATAAACGATTGAATTGATGGTTAGCACTGGATTCCAGTCTTCACGTAAAATATTTAAACACACATTACCTTCCAAATCAATGTTGGGATGATATACTTGAGTTTCGCATTTTACTTTTGGCGGTTCATGAGGGTAATTAGGCCCAACACGGAAATTAAAAATGAATCGACCGCCCTTGTAGAAACCTTCATCGGGACAAATGATTAATTTAAAATTGAGCAAATCATCAGGATCGGGAAATTCAGTGGCGCAAGTTTTTGGCAGGTTCAGTTCGTTTATATCTAAAAAAAGAAAATTGACAAATTGGTAAGTATATCAAAATGTGTAACAAACCAGAAAATAACTTCACGTAATCGCCTTTAAATGAATTCTCGTCACCCATAACATATTTCAATTTTGCATTCAAATTTTTTACGTATCCTATACGTATGCTTTGGATTAAGAACAAATTGGCATGAAGTTATTTGTTAACTTTTATGCTCGCTATTAAAATAAACATAATATCTACTTAACTTTATAGAGCAACATTGCTCTCGTACTCATTGAATAGGCTTTTAAAAAATTACATACTTAGTTGCGTTTCAAATGTTTCTTTGCTTGTTTCACTGAAATATGCATAACTTATATATTGTTGTAGCAATATTAAAAACTCAACTCTCTCTTGCAGAAGACATTGGACACGACACATGATTAAACGGAAGTTGTTTCTGTTGCTATATATATTAAAACACTGTACTATGATCTTCCGGTTAATAATGCAAGCTGTTTTCAAAAGGTAGTATCAAGGTATATATATGCGATTCGATCGAGATGCGGTATTTCTTTGTATTTTCGTACAACTTAATATATTGCATTTTTTTCACTGTTAAAATCACAAATGGGAAAATAGTCAAAAGAGAGAATGCCGTATCTTTGATGGTACTTTTGGCATAACAGATTTTGCAGACCAAATGAAACAAATAAGTAGTTTGAATAAGGGCCTTGATTACATGACTACTAAAGAGGGTGCGGGAATTTATTCTTTTCTTTAATCGTTTGTTTCAAGATTTGGGAATATTAGAAAAAAAAATATTGAGAAGATTGAGAAGCATTTTCCATACAGATTATCTCAAAGCGAAGAAAATTTCCTTTTTCTATATAATACACAAAGATAAATGGGCAACTGGGCATTAATTGATTTCAATAAAAAGCTTTGGATGAATAATTTTGTCATCTTTCATTATGCCTTCACCTGCACCACAATTCTTAATGTAAAATTCTTGACGTTTTGAGAACCTGAGTGAACTGTAAAAAGTTTGATTATAGCAACCGACTTAATGAATTTTATTTCAGGTATTTTGACGTGACGCTTATCAGAGAAATATGCGGCGAACGTCGATTGGATTCAGTTTCAATTCTGAAGAAAAAACCTTTTTTTTTTGGTAAAGAAGTTTTCAAATCAATCAATTTCGCTCTTTCACTCCGTCTTTTAGATATTTTCGTTTGACGGGAAGGTATTGTATACATCTGAAATTTCGAATTAAGTACCTAACAATTTTTTTAATGTGTCTTGGAATTTCTTGTAGTTTAAACAAGCAGACATGGTCTGCTCTTCAATATTTATTTATTTTATGCACTATAAAGGATAGTAAAATTAATTTATATTCCGGTGGTGCGGAGAATAATAAAACCCCACCCTTGCACATTATTCTTTTCACATTGTACATTTTTAAGTTGTTTTACGATCTTCCACCAAAGAAATTCCTTACCTTTTTGTATACGCAGCTGTGCAGCGGAGGCTTTCTTCTGTTGACCTCCAGTTTTCGCTGTTTGCTCACCATCTTTTTTTTGTTGCTTTAATGAAAACAATTTAATCATTTTCTTTTCTTTTTTTTTCTAAGTTTTCAAGAAGCAGCGCTCTTTTGTGAATCCTTCTGTTTTTCTTCAACGTTTCCCCGTATGGTAAATTTGTATCCTTTATGATTTGATCCGATTCTTTTCTTCACGTTGTAAGTCCAATTGTTTTTGTTTCCCTTTTTTGCCTTCGGCTGTGACTACTGCGGTCAGAGTTTCTGTTTTCTTCTAATTAACAGCGGACCGACTATTCTTCTCTAATTATTTTGCAAATTTTTCTTTCTATTAAAATTTACTATAATTTATTGGTGCCTCGTTTAATTACGAATTCTCGTTATTTGTACAAATTTGAGAAAATTTTTTATTAAGAAGTTTTTCTGGTTTCACTATTCGTTTAGATTGTGATAACTTCAGTGTTGCCAAAATTACAAATATGTCATTGCAGTGTGGATTGAATATCTTTAAACTGATAATTCATGTCATTATGAGTACCATAAACTAACAATATTGTAGATAATTAAACAATTGTTGACCTTTCGTGTACATTTACATAACTGATGGTTTTCTGAAATAAAAAATAAGCTCTACAATATCACAATTATTTAGCATTTTTATATATCAGCGAAGGCAGATGGAGTGATAAGCCTTTTTCAAAAAGGAGTATTCAAAATTTAGAGTCATAGGCACCAGAATCAAAAGTTAAAAGGCGCAGTTTGTCCAGACATATCAAGAAGAAAGAATCATTCTTGTTTACTAAGATTAGGGTTATTTTTCTGAAATTACATTAGAATTTTTAGGATTTTTATAAATCGTTAGGCTTACAAACATTTCTTTTCACATTTTTTAAAACGAAACAAATACTTATTATTGCACAAAGCCAGCATTTTTTCCTTTAACTTCTCTTAAATGTAAATTTCTTGAAAAATTGTAGAAAAACGGTTAAAAATAATATTGGACGAAAATTGAAGCAGTTGCAGCAAATCGTAAAATTTTAGCTGCACCTCTAATCTATTACGTTTGCATTTTACAACTGATTTAATGGTTTTGAAGACCACCATCGGCATTCATCGTGGCTAAGTTTTCTCATTTGAAATTTTTTTCTATACTTGCCAATTTGTTAAAATATTTGTAATATGGTTCTGCGACAATATTCCAAATATCGGCTTGTAGGACCATTTAAAGTTAATAGTTTAGGGAATGGGAACCTATAAAAAAATAAACTATATATCACAAGGCGACATTACCCCTTAAATATATAATAACATTTATAAAGGATGTAGCTGGAACTGGCAACTCTGCACATGATAAAAAAACCACCAAATTAATCCACCAAATTTGTTTAGAGATATAATTTGAAGACTGCTCATTTTAAGAAATAAAAGCGTTGTTATGTCTCAAGAGCCCAAGATAGCTAAAGATGCTGTATTTAAGCGCAGTGAACAAATACCAAGTGACACACCGGAAGTTAGAGGATATGATTTTAATAATGGCGTTGACTACACTAAACTCTTTGACTCCTACAAATACACCGGCTTCCAGGCTACTAATTTAGGTAAAGCTATTAATGAAATCAACAGAATGGTAAGTAAAAACTATATTTGGAAAAACTTTCGGCCAAAATCGAATTGACTTTTAGTTAGATTGTAGATCCGATCCCCTGACAGAAGAGGAGAGAGATCACAATGAAACAGATGAGTTTATTAAGCGCAAACATAAGTGCACATTATTTTTGGGGTTTACTTCAAATCTGATATCGTCGGGATTAAGGGAATTAATACGATTTTTGGTAGAACATCAAATGGTAGATTGTCTTGTTACGACAGCCGGCGGTGTAGAGGAGGACATTATAAAATGCTTGGCGCCTACGCTCTTGGGTAAGAGAAAGAAACAAATTAATTGATTAAAAATCTAAATATGTAATCATTTAAGGTTCTTTTGAAATGTCTGGTCGTTTATTAAGAGAACGCGGTATTAATCGTATCGGCAATTTACTAGTCCCGAATGATAATTATTGCAAATTTGAAGATTGGCTTATGCCTTTGTTAGATGAAATGTTAGAAGAGCAAAAAGTAAAAGGAATTGTCTGGTCTCCATCTCTAATTATACAACGTCTAGGAGAACGAATTAATGATAAGTCGTCAATCTACTATTGGGCGGCTAAAAATAGAATACCCGTGTTTTGTCCTGCTCTTACCGACGGTAGTTTAGGAGATATGATGTACTTTCATTCATTTAAACATCCCGGTCTAATAATAGACATTTTGTCCGACTTGCGGCGACTTAATACTATGGCTATAAAGGCCATTAATTCAGGCATGCTAATTTTGGGAGGCGGCGTTATCAAACATCATATTTGCAATGCTAATCTTATGCGCAATGGAGCCGATTACTCCGTATTTATAAATACGGCTTCAGAATTTGATGGAAGCGACAGCGGTGCGCGACCCGATGAAGCCATTTCATGGGGCAAAATAAAGAAAGATGCGATACCTATAAAAGTATATGCTGAAGCTAGTTTAGTATTGCCAATAATTGTGGCGGAGACATTTGCTAAGCGTTTGCTGGTTAGAAAGTGAGAAGAAAAATAGAATTGTCATGAATTGTAATAAAGAATTAAAGAAGTTGGTCAAGTTTTTCTTCTATTTCTAAGATTTTTGATTACGGTATTTTTTGCATTACGATGTACCTCATCTTTTAATTTAATACAAACCTGTCAACAACATTTTTTATGAAAATATTAAGACTTCTATTCGCAAGTTCCACTGTTGTTACTTGTGGAGTCTTATAAGAAAAACTACATAAGGTAGAAAAATATATGTAAAGAAAATTTACCCTCTGTAACTGCTTTTATTGGCAGTTATGTTAACGTAAACTTTTTTGTGCCTACATAATCTAATTAAGAAGTATTGTTCACGATATGTTCTAAATTTTACTTAATCCTTATGCTGCTAAAATTTAAAATTAACTAAAAGCATTCGAGAGTAAAGTTCAAATGAATACTCGCAACTCCTTTCTTGCTACACTTCCTTTCTGCGTCGATCTCCCTCTCACGATGTTTTACACTCATTTTGAACGTTTAGAAACTACTCTTGAGATTGCTATGTTCAAAATTTTACAGGTTTCTGCCTAATTATCTGACAAATAGTGTGTTATTTCGTATGTAATAACATTTTCTGTACTATCAATTTAAAAGTCCCTGTGATACCCGTCGTGATTTTGTTCTGCATTGCATACTTTCGGCCACAATTCCTGTATATGACAAATTCTAGAAACAGGGATGGTCAACATTTGGGATGGAATAGTTAATAGAGATGATTCAGCTCGTTGTGTTTTGTAAATATAAAAACAGTAATATGCACTTTACCAGATACTCATGTACGGTTTATTCAGCAGATATCTATACAATGTTAACACGTCTTTATTTGAAACGCAGTCGATTAAATAAATAGAAGTCGAAATTCTTATTTCTTTCATTTCAGTGACAAAGCCTCTGTCATTTCAACATTAATAATTTCAGTATAGAATATGCGAAAAACCTTGTAAAGCATAAAAAATCGAATCAATTACCCTGGCAGTTTGCTCAACGGAATTCATTCTTCCCGATATGGCAACGCGTGTATGCATTTTCCAAACAAACGTCAGAACCGGCTGAGCACTATTCAGAATCTTAACATAACGGGACAAACGCTAGTGTAAGTTTTACCGAAAAGCTATTAAAAAGCGTTATTGTTTTACGAGTGGTTTATTTATTAATTTGATTCGGACAAAGAAATGCCTCAAATGCCGTTGCTTCCTTTGGCTCAGGTGAGTTAGGACATGTTGTTGTTTTATAGTACACGGAAATGTTCTTTGTTGTGGCCTACAATTGGTTATTTACTTCCAATTGCAAACGGCTTTATATTTATACATTTAAACAACATTAGAACGCTATCGACCCTATGCAGGTAGATGCTCCATTGGAGGATAACGACAACAATGAAGAACAATTGCTGGTGGTGGAGAACCCTACCTTGGATTTGGAAGTTTACGCTCAGTCCACCATGGGGTTAGCTCGATTGTATAGATTAGTATTCGTGGCCGATGTGTGTCCCTCTTTGCGCTTAGAAGCGTTGAAAATGGCCATCAATTATGTTATGACTACTTGCAATGTATCAATGTATCAATTATTGCACAAAAAGCTTAATGATCATTTTGCTGGCGGAGCCGCTGGTGTGCCTGAAGGCAACGGAGCTGCTGGAGGTTTGCCTGATATAGCTGCTCAGCCAGTGGCCGCCGCTCAGGCGCAAGATTTGCCGATATTTGATCAAAACTGGGTAGAGACGAAAAGTAAAAAGGCTGCCCTAAAATTGGAGAAACTTGATTCGGATTTGAAAAATTATAAATCAAATTCTATTAAGGAGAGTATACGTCGAGGACATGACGATTTGGGTGACCACTACCTCAGCTGTGGGGATCTCTCTAATGCTTTGAAATGCTACTCCAGAGCTCGAGATTATTGCACTAGTGGTAATTATGTAGTGAATATGTGTTTAAATGTCATCAAGGTTTCAGTATATTTGCAAAATTGGTCCCATGTATTGAGCTATGTATCCAAAGCCGAGAGTACGCCGGATTTCGCAGTTGGTTCTAAGGATGCTAATCAGGTATAAGACGATAATAATTTTAATTTTTATGCTTGTTTTCATTTGATTGACGCCACAACCGAATTTTTTCTTCTAAACCAGAACGTGTTCACTCGTTTAAAGTGCGCTGCTGGTTTGGCTGAGCTGCAAACCAAGAAGTATAAATCTGCGGCAAAAAACTTTCTTTTGGCCAATTTCGATCACTGCGATTTTCCGGAATTATTATCTCCTAGCAATGTAGCCATTTATGGTGGACTGTGTGCTCTAGCCACTTTCGATCGACAGGAACTGCAGAAAAACGTGATTTCATCCAGTTCCTTTAAGTTATTCCTTGAATTAGAGCCTCAATTGCGAGACATTATACTGAAGTTTTATGAATCCAAATACGCATGTTGTTTGAAATTACTCGATGAAATAAGAGATAATTTATTACTGGATATGTACATTGCTCCGCATGTGAATCCTTTGTACACAAAAATCCGAAACCGGGCCTTAATACAATACTTCAGTCCGTATTTGTCCGCCGATATGCGAAAAATGGCTACTGCTTTTAATCGTACCGTGGAAGCCCTTGAGAATGAAGTCATGCAATTGATATTGGACGGCCAAATTCAGGCTCGCATAGATTCGCACAATAAAATCCTATACGCCAAAGAGACCGATCAACGGAGTAGTACCTTTGAAAGAGCCCTAGCAATGGGTAGAGATTACAAGCGACGTTCCCGAATGCTAGTATTGAGAGCCGCTCTTCTTAAGAGTCATATCCATGTAAAGGTTTGGCTTGCAGTTTTTATGTGTGTTCAATTTTCACCTTTTTTATTTACAGAGCATTCCTCGGGACTCCAGCAATCATGGTGCAGACTTATGTGTGGCACCCGGCTCCAGTACCACTACTAACACTATTGCTAGAATTTAAAACTCACTCATTAATTAATCATTTAACGCAAATACAATTAAAAGTCAACTTTGTGCGTCTTTTGCTACCATCACTATTTTATTCCCGAAAGAATTAATATATTCTGTCAACTTAACATATGGCGTGGAATTAAACAAGAGATCATTTCGATTTTGCATTACTTTTTTATTTTCGATAAGTTTGTTGTGATTAATAATAAAGCAAACGGAATAATTTTCTTTAAAAAATATCGCTTACATAGTACAATTAATATCTATGTTGTGGCTTTGGCTGCAATTTGTCGCGTCGACCATCTCTAGAAGATAATCGCGATCTGCTATCATCATGCAAACGCTTGTCTAATTTCTGCCTTTCTATTCCGCCATTTGCATCGACCTCGAAATCCGCGGACGCAGATGATGATCTCCCTGAACTTGAGCAACGTGACCACTTTTTGGTTGTACTCGTCTTACACGAACCATTTTTGGAACCATACGAAATTTTGGACTTGTATTTCTTGTCGTATTTCTTATGTTCTTTCTTACGTTTTTTAATCTCCTTTTGCTTAAGCTTTTCCATTTTTTCTAATTTTTTTAATAGCTTCACTTTTTGCTCCTTACTGAGAGATTTTAGAAAAGCTCTTTCGACATTACCGTTCTCTTCTTGACTAACTTCATCATCTGGGTCGCTGGGAACTAAAGTGCGTTGTTGGCTACCAATATTCTGCATTTCCATAGCTGAACGTTTCATCATTAAGCCGTCGTTTTTCATTTGTTCTTCTAAAACGTTTTTGGCCATAACATCGGCGGCTTCTGCTTCCGAATGCAATTTTCGAGCCTCACTCATTGATATACTGTACATAGTGCATTCTTTGTCTGTGTTGATGTGACCCCATTTATGGCATTTAATACATCGGACATTGCGTACTTGGATACCAAACGGTTGATCACGAATCTCAGTGTCCCCTTTGCAATACGATTCACGTGGGGCATTATATTTTCGCTGCCATTCGAATTTGTACTCTGGTTCGTTGTCATCCTTCTCCCGTTCTTTGCGTACTCCTGGCGGAGGTTCGTACATAAAGTTAACACTTAACTTATCTTTGCTTTCATTACTGAGCATTGCTTTGTTTTCGTGTAGATTTTGTTCCTTCTCGTATTGATTTCTCAATTCTTCCTGCTTCTTTTTGTATGCTTCTGCCTGCTGTTCAGCCATCCATACCTAGGACGTTTGCAAAAACATTTGATAATTTTGTTGAATACGTCAAATATAAAGAAACCAAGGATCTTACTCTTTTCAGGTTATCCCGCGACGCAGGATGGAAAAACTTTTTACACATATAATTATTAAATCCTTTACCCATTTTATAAATTATTAATTTATAAAAGAAGTTATTTGTCGCAGATATTTATGGTTGTATCAACTGAGAACGTGTCATATAACATTTTACTAGTCAGCAATTACTCACTTCGTATCGTATCGCATAGCACTAGTAAGTTTCTTAATTTTTGATTGATATGATATTTGGTAAGTGCAAAACGAATAGCGTTTAATTAATTCTTATTCATTCATAATTTAATGTATGTTTCAGTAAATAAAAACTTTACAAAATATTTATTGTGAACAAACATTTGAAATATTGAAAAGGCTTTCGGCGATCCGGTATGCAGGTTAAGACATTAGATTCAGGCCATTGTGAATGTATTAATTGCGCTTATGGTTCTCACTCATTTTCTGCTGTGTCCGGACAGTTATTATTTGTTGTGGAAACTCTTGAAATTCGGAAACTTTTATTAGAAAATTGGACGCACATTGCTAGATAACTGTCACATAATTATTCTAACAACAACGGGAAAACAAAAGCATCTGAATACTGCTTTAGATATGGAGGTATTCTATGTACTATCATTAATAGTAGGCAAAAGTAAAACAGATATTTATCAGGCTCAGGTAAATAAAAGAAAATAGAAAATGTGTTTTCATTCACATATTAATTTTATTGAAACGATCTGCCAGCGAATATAGCCTTCTTTTTTACGTTACAAATAAAACTTTATGTAGGACTTAGGGTAGCAAAGCATTGCAAGCGTAACGTAACTGTTTCTAGCGTAATGATGCGTTTTAAAATTTTACGTTTTGATACGTTGTTGATAATGTATCCATTATAAAGAAATATTTATGGCATCAATTCATACGTAATTCAACTATAAGAGTTTTTTACTATTTTTTATCCAGCACTGTGAATCCATTTATTGTTCATTTGGCACATTCTAAAAGAAGAGGCATATGCTTTTGTTGGTTTGGAACAAAAATATTTATTAATAACGTTTTAACCGACTCTAATTTCCCTAATTGTTTTCAATTCAGGGGGGCATTCATTTAGCTTTCCCTTTTGCATATATTCGTTTTTGACAAACGGCTGAATACAAAAGCGAAAACTAAATTTTCCGTACGTGATTACCCTCTTTAGTTTTTCCCTCACATTCAGCAACGCGTTTAGCTTAAAATTTAGTAGTTGGGTTTAAGCTGGCTTTATATATTTATTCGGACTTCACTATAGTTCAACATAAAATAGATATAAGTTATATAGTTCGTTAGACCATTTGTTTTGGACGCTTACTTCACAGTATGTTACTGCCTAAAACTAAACTTCAACAGGTTACTTAACTGCGATTTCACTTAACTATAGTATAACTTTGTTGCACTGTGCATAGAATTCGCTGTACAAATGTAGTTCTATTAAGAATAGTAGGCACAGGAAGCCTTTAACATTAATATTAAAGGTGCTTTTGTTGTACCCTTCGACAAGACGCGAAATTTGACAAAAAACGATCTGATTCCAACAGAGTTGGCAACATGAACTCGTTTTCAGTTATTTAACGAAAACAGGTAAAAATTATCTTGGCTTTACATTCGTAAAACATACCAACGAATGCATGTTTTTGTTTACAATTGGCATGATTGCTTCTAGCCATAAAGTAAAAAGTTTGCATCATTTATATAGCTGTTGCGAAAGCTAACTTTCCGCTACGCCATCACCATCCCACATATAGTGTGATAAAAATGCCAGTATTGATGGTGAAGCGGAACATATATTGTGCCAAATCCATCGCCTGTATTTGATAAAATTATTTCCTTTCTATTGTATTAAGTCAATCAATATATTTCCTACCTATAGGAAATAAATGAAATAAAACAATGGTTGACATCTCTTTTGTTATTGGATATAACCTCTCTTGAGTTCAATATATTTATTGCATTATACAATAAAAAGTGCTTCCCATATAAGAACCCTGCAAAAAATGCTCGCAGAGGGAACAAAGCGGGACCGAAATCTAGTTCGAGCATTTCGTGTTTGTTCATCTTGGTCTTTGCCAAAAGACCACTGTAAGCTGGTGACGATTTTTTAGTATCCAAAAGCTTGAATTTAGATGTTTCTATATTTCTTTATTGAAATAATAAACCCAAATCTCATTCATATTTATCTATAGATAACAAAATTAAACTTTATTCCTGATGAACCGGTTTAGATGCCTCTCAGAAAGTGGGGGGTATGGAAACTAGAAAATTCGCTACTTATTTTGCTAATAGCTTTCTCATACCTAGGTATGCACGTTTCTCGTATCTTAGGTAAGATTTTACGGCTAAATCTTGATAGTGATTTTTTACTACTACATCCTGTACTCAATGATTTCTTTGATGGTGTCAAAATATACCCAGAGTGTGCTTCATCTTCAACGCTGAAAGGCTAGAAGCCGATTTCTCGTCGACGTCGCTCAAATAACCAGAATCGAATATGTGCTTTACTGAATATTCTATAGCGTGCGGGGGACATAGGGAGAAGTTACTTCTTTACTGCAGAAAAGAGAAAGTTATATATATATTTATATTATTATTATTATTATTATAAATTTAGCCAGAGAATAAATTCTAAGACTAAAGTCTTAAAGCACTAGCATCTAGGGCTATCGGCTTTTATTAAAAAACTCTACCGCACTTGAGGTTTGAACCCACGACTATTGAGTTGCTAGTCGAGACTCTTGCCTACTCGGCCACTCAGGCGGATATATATATATATATATATATATTTATAGCTTTGCTCTATATATCTGGAATTAAAAAAGCAATAATAGAGGCCATTCTTACTCCCAACGTTCAGTCTTGCAAACAAAGTTTTTAAACCCAATCTTCATAATATTTAATATGTTGGTTTGCGCCGAAGGCTTTGTCTTTGTATGCTATTTAAGTTATGCGTAGGAATGGGCTTTTCCTTTATGGGACTAAATGAACCCAAAAGTTTAGAAGGGCGGGTTTAAAAGTCAAGGGTATATTCCAGAATATCGACAGTAATCATGAGTTTATGTTATCTCACGGTCGACATTCGAAGTTCTGTTTTAATGTTTTAAGTTTTACTATGGCAATATTTATGTCATTCTTAAAAAAACAAGTAAGAACATTAGAGTAGAGCAAGGTCGACCCTTAAGTACTCTGCACCACATTGTCTAATTCTAGAATACAAAAATTATATGTTGCGTATTTATGGCGAAGCAAACAAATTTGTTGCCTTTAATTTTTTTATGTTAAATTACTATTATAGTATAATTTTCTTCATGAAGCGTTGAAAATAATACCTTTTTGTCCTGTGAACTTCAGTTCTCGTTATATGAGAGGGTTCAAAAATTGTCCCAGTCGATTGAAAGTTTTCATACCAATTTAAAATGCTGAAATATTACTACTTAGCCACTTTTGCCCTGAAATTTGTGAAAATTGCAATTTTTTTCCATGTAACGACTTTTCAGAGTAAAGCATTAAATGGAGAGTGGTCGAAAAAATGCACCGGTCCGAACCATTTCCAATAGCGTTCGTCCTTGGGTAAAACACGTCACTGTACCAAATTTCATCGCAAAATCCCAAAAATTGCGAACTGCAGCCTGAGCACAAATTTACGTGGGCAAACATCAGACGAACAGATAGGTTTAGAGTCGGTATAATAAACGGTGGAACTATCTTAAGCCCTTCTGGGTCTTACATATGACCGCACTAATTTAATATACCCTGTGCCACTTGTGGAGTAGTAAAAATGTAACCGTTTATTTATAAGAAATAAAGTGCTAAATTGATTAATCTACTAAAATAATAGTTCGTTTTTCTACAAAATGAAGCACATATATGGCGTCTGCCTGTGTACTTGTATTAAACTTAGATATAATTTTCAGTATAAGGTTTGCTTGAATCAATTATAAACATCTGATTTTGTAGTTGCTATTCATAACTTAAAATCCTTACTAATTTGACTCGATTTCTAATACATGGATTTGCCTATGGTTACCTTTGATATTGTCTTCTTCATCAATTTTATTTTATCACAAATAAGTTTGTGTATAGCTTTTCATCAGTAATATTGAAAACTATCGCTTTTTATTTCAATTTGTTTTTGGCTGCCTTTTAAATCAAAATTTTAAAAGATGTCAAACAATGTCTTCCTCAATAAATTTCTCATTTCTCCTCTCGTTAGGCTTTATATTGTGGACCTTTCTGTACTATTTCAAGCAAATTGGTAAGTTTAACAATATGTACCGAATGACTTCCGCGAAAAAGGGTTCTGTTATATATAAGCTAGTGGCGGTAAGTTTGACGATATATATACATATATATATACATGTGTGAATGTATACATAGATTCATGTATTTTTATACTTATACGCGTGTGCATATCTATTCTGGGTGTCATACAGCTAAAGAAATTTGGGTTTTTATAGGTACAGAAAGTTTCCTTAGTATATTGCCTGTCTGCCCTTCGCTTACGTGCCATGATAATTAGGAGACTTATGTTAATTTCTTGTGCATTTTGGAATGCCTTTACGTTTTTGCTTAATCTAATGTTATAACTGAACGTTATATAGCCAAACATATGCGTACAACGTACAGCATGTTCGATTTTGAAGAGTATGACTTGGAGTGCTTAGATATCGACAACGTAGAGGATTTACGTGAACAGCAACAACCCCTCCTTACTAAAATCAATCCGTTATAAAGGTATGACGAAAAGGGCGACAGTTTAAACATTTGGGAGAAATGTTTGGATATGCAGCATAAAATGTCTGTAAAGAAAATAAGCCTGTCGTAAACAAACTTAAATTAGCTGCCTGCCCAAGAGCCCGTCATTATATCCACCGAAGGATGGGAAAAAATTCAAAGTTGGTTTTAAAATACACACCATTCCTTTAACTTTTTAAATACAGTTTCAGGCATCCTTGCAAAGTGTACCTGATCTGATTCATTCATATAATTTATATTAAAAAAATGCGTTGAGAGATTTGTACATTTTACAATTATAAGAAGAAGTTTATATTATACGATAACGATAAAAAAAGAAAAAAACCAAAAAGTGCCGAAAGCTTTAGAAACCGTTTCTTTTTTTGTCATCGTATGTTAAGACCTGGTAACTCTATGTAATTAACAGTTCGCTAACAAATAACTAACAGTCATAACTGACAAACTAACACATATTCTGCCTTCAGTTGCATTCGTGTGAGACTAA